TCCCAAGATATTTGATGAATCTACTTCACATATCAGAATTCAAAATCATATTACCTAAGTATCAGATCTGACTCGCAAATCTATAGTGTATTCATTAGTCTCTAAATCTACTAATTAACAGGACACGAATGGAGTTACTCTGAATTACTATTAAATTGGGTACAGAGATTAGAAGTAATTAGCCATGATGAATTTATTATATAAGATTCTCCACAATGCAGCATATGCCTATTTGCGTACACAATTGTAATTGGGCTATGTTGTAAGTGTCAAATTCAAACCAGTTGGTTGTTTGGACAGTGCTCAAATTTTGGTGTAGGGAACAGCAAAACCTCCCTATGTTGTGAATTAACATATAGAAGAGTTCTTAATTAATTATGGACGAGAATTGAAGGAGATGACTGATCAACAATTTGAGGAACTCAAAACTACTACTGTAATATATTCTATCATGATTTTTAGATATCTGGATTGAAGGAGGTCGAGAAGAATCTTAAGGACAAAGCAAGAAGCACTTGGTCACATATTAAGAATAATGATTTGGCGTTTGAGGAGAAGGAAATCGCTGCTCAATACATTGATATGGTTACTAAATCGGATCTCTTTTCCTTCTATGACAAGATTTTCACTTCAGGAAAGCTATCTCTTTAAGTGTATGGACAAGGAATGATCACTTAAACCATGGGAATCAGTGTCAATGATTTAGCCAATAAGGTGAAAAGCAATTCTCTATCGAAAGAATAAACTTATGCTGTCAGGGATGAAGTCACAGTTTCTACCTCTGATGATTTCAAGCAAAGAATCACTTCAAATTATAATTGCAATTACAAGATAAGTAACATTTGAAAATTATGGATAATCAAAATAATTCAATATAAAATTTGAACTTTTATATATGTTAAATTAATTCGCAGTTGAATTACTTAGAGATTTGAATTGTGTAAGAGGAAACCCTCTTTATTTTGATACCAGTCTCACCCCCTTATTTGAATCCATCTCATAGAATAGTGAAATGCAAGTAATAATTTTCTGAATTATTCAAGCAATCACCATGCATCAATCCAAATGACATCCTGACAGTAATCAATAGTTTTGGAACGGATGTTCATTTCTTATCAGATCATATCATGAAGTAGAAGACCAACGACTATTCCAAGCTCATTAGTGGGTATCGCAAGTAAATCTTAATATTACAATATTAATAGTCGTCTCTCAGATTCTACTAAATAAAAATTTAAATTGATGTTCAATAAACAAATAAACAATCCAATCATCTATTAGTAGCATTTAACACATTGTTATATTCATCTTTACGAAAACACAAATTTCTATTTATTATTAATCGTATTACAATCTAAATATGTGATTGTCGATTCAATTACTCAAAAAAACACTGGCATACAAATACAAGGATGGCTGAATTACCCTACCCAATTGTCTGGAATTCAATTTGTTGACGGAGATTAATATTATGAATTATAAGACTCTGACACTAAATAAAAGTAAGTCACAATAGATAATCAGAATATTTGGGTATTCGACCTATTTGTAGAGAATTCAAGCACCCAAATACTTCCTTTGATTTCCCATAAATTTGGAGATATACCTATAGTCCAATTCTTTTGTGAACAACAAGTAGGGGAAGTATAACTTAAAGAGTAGAAATCGTCATAATCGCCCTCCCATCCCATTATTAAGCAATTGCATTTGCTCTCCACTCGAGACCCACTCCAGCCCATTAAATCAAATCTATAAAATAAAATAGAATAACTTAAAGGCTAAAAGTTCAATGGATTTGAATAAGAACATCATCCAAAAGTGCCCCATACTACCTCCAAAAATTTATAATTATTCCGCATTGAAGAAAACCAATACGAACAATCCAGTGCTAAACCCGACGACTTGGATTTGTATACCAAAAATTTAGAATCCAAATATCTAAATGCCCCCAAATTTCCATGTCTGATTGATGGATTGATTAGTTCAGAGTCATAAATGTTAGAAAAAAGTCATAATCCTTACGTTCCTCTGACTCATAAGGAATAGTCTACCCTCTCAGATATAAGACTATAGACCCTAAATACTTAAGATTCTGCTATTAATGAGCATCTCAGTAATATACTTGATCAGAAATAATTACAAAATATTTATTAGGATTTATGTAGGGAAGTTGAGAAGCCTTAGTGCAATTTGTAGTAGAGTTAACAAATATTTCAACCTTATAATGTTGAATCTCTCTACTTTGGAAATTCTCAATAGCATTCCAATCGTAATTATGAATCATAAGACTTATTCTAACAGCAATAGTAATAATAAAATTAATTTTAATTCAATTAACAATAATAATAACAATAACAATAACAATAACAAATGCAACCATTTAATTAACATTAAGATTATTAATAATAATAATCTTATTAATACTAATAATAATAATATTTATAATAGTAATAATAATAATAGTAATAATAATATTATTATGAATAATAATAGCAATAGTTATTATAATAATAGTATTAATAACAATTATATTAATAATAACAACTTCAATACTAAATGATGCTATATCATTAATAACTGCAATAATATCCAAACAATCTATAAATATAATAGCCTGAAGAATAATACTATTTCGAAGAACCCTAATGGGAGTCACCACCAAAAAAGTGGTCTTTTAGTCCCCAAAAACAAGATGAATCCATAGCAATCAAGAAGAGAACCTCAAATCCTGAACCTTAAAATAAAACATCCTATCGATACTCAATAAGGTAATCTATAAAACAGCAAAAGAAATCAGAATTCTAATTGTCGAATACTTAAAAGATACTATAGAAAGAAGGTGCATAAATAAAGGACAATGAAATTCCATTCAAATGCAAGCTCAAAATTAACTCTATACATCCCTATGACTTTGTTGATTTGAGATCGAATAGAGCCTAGAAAAAAATGAAAGAAATAGAATAAGGTTTATTAAGTTAATCTATAAGATGTAAATAATGTTATTATCCGTAGATCACAAAGATCATAATTTTAATGCTTTGTACCGCAATGAGAAGTTCTCAGACATCGTTCTAATAGTTAACGATCATCAATACAAATCTCACAAATCAGTGTTGATTTAGGTTTCCAATTACTTTAAGGAATTGCTAGAGACTAAATAGTTTGAATTGAACTTGTAAGTTGATAACCTATAGTTATTTGATTTGGTTTACAAATACATATACTTGGGTAAGCTGACAGATTCAGAATGGAATGAAGTAGGAATCAATTAATCAATTAAATTTTATAGATTGGCTGAGAAATTAGAATTGTACTAATTGATTGAGTAATTGATAAGCAGAGTTGTAATCCCTATGATGATCAACGAATTTGTCCTGGATTGGTATGTGATAGGCTTCAGGAATTAAAACTCTCATCTTTCTTACATTTTTAAATTCGTCTATGTTTATACAGTAACCTATTTTTCATTAAACTGCAAAACTATAATCGATCAAATAAGAGGTAGACAAGATGATTCAATGCTTAGAGATTAGTAGATGTAAAATAAATACAAAAAAATATTCGATTTGATGACACCTGAAGAAATATACTTTCTGGTTTAACAACCTTTAATGTAGACTGATTTTGAAGGAGTTGACAACTTGCTGTGGTTAATTACTGAGAAAAAGCAATGTTAACAAATAGATTTACTTAAATAATTGTCAATGGATCATTTATCGAATTGTGGATTTAAATATAAAGATTTCACTAATTATTAATTCGAATAGAACTTGCCTCTATTAAATAATCAAATTATTGTATATCCTTAAAGGCTGCAGGAGACCAAAAAAAGGAGAAGTTCAATATATACTGATTAAGAATTTCATTATTCCGAGTCATTATTTGATGAATATTCATTCTACCAATAAAACTAAAATACCTGTAAAATCAATAAGTTGGTTTATGAAATGAAAATCAGTAATGTCGTTGGTAATTCGATAGTGATTTCAGAATGTTTTGCCTCATAAAGTCTTGCTTGGAGATTGATCATAGATGTTAATGATAAAAATATCGTTTCAATTTATTTGCAGGAAAGAGGATCAATAAAAAACAATCTAAAATACATGAATCTTGAAGATAATCTGATGGATGAATCCTTACCTTAGTACACCAAATTAAATTTTATAAGTGTCTTAGTTAAAATAGCAATCCTTAATAAATAAGAGTAGAGTAATGAGAGAGTCATGTATCATACATATCCCACAAATTAATTTCACACAGTAGGGTTTGAGGAGATTCAAACTGTAAGTTCCTAGTTATGGCTAAAGGTTTACATACAGGAAGATCCACTCCATTCTGCTCTAATGCATTGGTGTGGATATAATTACAATGAGAAGTTCTGTTAATTGCCCTATTTTACACTCTATTCATTACTAAAATCAGATATGTTGAGAGTTAGTGAAGAAAAACAAATACTTGGATTGTTGTACAATTTATAAAAATCTGAGTAGGAATAAAATCTTGATCTTGTCATTCATCCCATTAGATATTTTTATGTGCCAATAGGAGAGATATTCACATTGTCTAAAGATTGTTAGTCAGTTCGCAAGAATAAACTATTTCAAAGCATCTTGAACTTATTATTGTCTCATTATTTGGATGGGAAATAACATAATTAAAAACCAAGAAAGACCTATGCCAAGATAGATACTTTAATGAACTAATCAGACTTTAAGAAAGAATGGCTAAAATGGTTGATTTACAGTGATAATAAAACATTGAAAATTAATACTAGCGATATCAAAAAAGAGGTAATTGAAAAGCAAAAGAAAATAGAGAGATAACAGTATTAGTAGTACTTTTAAGTTTATAATTAAACACCAAAAAAGTAATTAGAAACATAATCACAATAATCACCTAAATGTAATATATTTTGAAAAGTTTCTTTGTTTTTAAAATTAATTTAACTAACTAACTATAATAATTATATCTATTATTATATATAAAATAAAAATTAACAATCAACAAGCATGAAATCTAGCTAAATATTATAAGAAATGGCGACCTAATTTAGTAATAGAAATTAAATACCAAATTAAGTGAATTGATGTTCTTCATATTTAGAGAGTTGAATTTAAATTTATTCTTTTTATTTATCATTACATTTCAAATAGAAATTTTACATTACATAATTTCCAAATGAGTTATTAATTAAAATTAGTAACATAGGAGGGACTGTTTGATTCATAAGGATTTTGCATATGCTGGCAATGTCATCTTCTTAAGCCAATTTAATATACCTTTCGGCTACATTGCTACATTTGAGTTAATTATTACCTTCCATATTTATCTTAACTGACTTCAATTATTCTTTATTTGATGAACTTTCCAATGACTTCGAATCCTTTTGGGGGTCCCGAGTTAATCATATGTTGAACAATGTAATTCCCGTACTAGCAAAACGATAGCTTTTCACAAAGTGGAATTAAGGAGATGTAAAGTTCTTATAATTTATCGTTGGGAAATATTTCCAAACACTTTTAAGCTATTCTACAGCCGTAAGGATGAGAAACAACCTTGTCTACATTATTTGTGACCAGATCTATAATGAATTCAGCATCAGTAACTAAATCTATGATTTTTTAGATAACATGATTTCCACACTAATCAAATATTAGCTTTAAAGCGTATGGTTTGATTTAGGAAATAAGTTACACTTTTTGTTGGTTGAGGATAAATTCTAGCAATTTTTGTACAACTCTACAGCCAAATTTGTCTTGGGACATTTCCAACACATGAGTGTTCAATTGTTCAAAAATCAGTGTTCTGGTATTTTAATTACTGTTTTCAATTATTTTTTAGATGACATAATTTCCAAATTTGTGTTTTGATAGTAAGAGTAAATCATCAACTAAGCCTTTAAATATTTTTTCTCTTTGGTACTCGTTTCCCTAGATGAACGATTGCTAAATATTCAAAGAGGCGTATTGATCTTGACATTGTTGGGACTAAGGGTTGATTACATATTTGTACAATTGATGAATCAATCTCTGTTTATAATTGTAATTTTTTTGTTCTTTTTTAGGAGAAATAGCCATCTTGACAAGGATAGTACATTGGTTGTTGGGGTAACATGTATGAATGGAATTCATGACTCGAGGAATGTTATCGTGATTGAATGAATGTAGGCTACACTGTAATGTAAAAATTGCTGGGATCGGCAGAGGGGAATTCTTAATACCTAATTGAATATTTCTAATAATACGTTGGATCCTCATTTAAAACTGGACTCTCTCTCAGATCTTTGAAACTTTTGATGGGCTAAGGGTATTTATAAAGAACATTAATTTTACAGATTGCGAATGCTACTGGGATTTGGTAATAGAAGATCGAAATTCTGAGCATTCTGATTCATCATCTACAGAATTAAATAAATTGATTACCATCAAGAAGGGAACCTATCATATCTTTTTCTGATTGCTCAGTCTCTTGCATCGAATAATGTTTAATAAACACAAAAAAATTATAATCATATTCGTCAGTATTATTTGGCTTTAGATGAGTTAAAGAATTATCTAATCATACAGTCAAATTTAGTTTAAAGTAATTTCTATTTAGGAAGAGGCTTAAGTTATTTAATCAAGCTTCTTTTATTTTTTTAAGGAGATTTCGTGACTAGTAGTCTATCAGAAGTGGAAGACTGAAATGATTAAATCGCCTTTCTATCAGTGAGTAATCGATTGATTGTTTTGTTAGAACGCATAACTTGTTGTTTCATATTTTATAGAAAACAATTTGAAGTTGGAACATATTTATACGATTTATATGGAGCAATCTAAGGTTGCTCAGTCTTTAAACGTTCTTTTTCCGGAGTTTGGGTCTTTGTTGGTGATGCTGGCATATGCATACTTTCTTCCAGATCTGGTTGAGAACGTAATATAAAAAGTGGATTTTTGGCATAAATTCGAAAGTTCCTTTTTTTATGATCATTTCTCATATATCTTCTTGCTCCTTCCAATTTACTTAGGAATACATCAGCTAATCGTTCTTATTTGTGGTAGGCTATTTCACACAATTAATTTGGTAGACGATCTTCTTTTGGAGCAGTGGTCCCACACTACTCACAAACACAGCTCTTGCGACGAACTTGTGTTGAATCCAATTTAGGTCCATCCAGGTACTTTATTGATAGGTGTTACCTACTATGCATATTTTTATTTTAAATTTATGGATTAAAACTAAGTGCAATCAGATGTATTGGGATGTCTTTGTGTGTTGTCCTATATTGTACTGAGGATCAAGAGTTGATAGAAAATATAGGTTAAATGAAAAGTATCTCATTGGAAGTTAGTGATTATAATATTAATATAGAGTAGATAACGAAATCAAGTGGGACAAATTGAGAACATACATTCATCCCATTATTAAAATTGGCAGATATTGATTGAAAAGTGTTTTCTAATGAAGTACGTTGATATTCAGAATAAAATTGGATGGATTTGGAGTATAAAATTAAGAGTTGAGAATTATTAATTATTATAATAGGAATTTGGGTAGGAGGGGAATAAGCGGAGTTGATTTAAAGGGGTTGTCATAAATAATGAAATGAATATATCAAACATTATTTTATATATTTAAAATGAGTTAATTGGTTTCTTGTGGGAAAAGTGTTCTCATTCATGATTAATCTATGGACCCCGTTTTAAGAATTAACCCACATAAATCTAGCATTAATTGTTGCATTTGGAATCACAATAGTATTTGAACTTGTAAATTTAATAGATTGTGTTATTGCAAGTTGTGGCAATGATGGAGTTATAATTTTAAGTCGAGCTACCGATGGCGAATCACTTTTGCCTCTTGAGCATAACGGAAAAGCAATAAATGCAATTTCATTTACATCTAATAGCCAATATTTAGCAAGTGGAGGTCATGATTCAATTGTGCGGGTATGGGATTTGAAAAAGAAAACTATTCAAAGTCATCTCAAAGGACATTATTCTTAAATTAATTCATTGCATTGGAATTCTGCAGACACTCTCATTGCAAGTGCCTCTAATGTAGGTGACATTCTTGTACATGATGTAAGTTCACAAATAGCAGTATCCACTTTCAATTTAAAAGGCTCAAAAACCCCTGGATTCAAGGCAGTTAAATTTATGAGCAAAAATCTCTTGTGTTCTGGCAGCAATGATGGGTCTGTGACAATCTTTGATCTAAATAAGAATGAATATCAATGCAATTTCTCATCTTAACATACAAGTAAAGTGACAGGACTAAGTGTTACTTAATCGTTAGTCTGTAGTGTTGGAACCGATCAAAAATGTTATCTATATAGTATTGTTGATAAAAAGGTTACGCATACGATTGCATGTGAAAATCCATTGAATTCTGTGGCCATGCAAAATGACGATTATTCTGTTACTGTGGGCACTCTCTATGGATAAATCTATGTGTATGACATAAGAATGACCTAGAAACCTAAATTGTAATTTAGAGGACACGACAACTCCAGTGTTAATTATATGGAGTATTAAAACATCGACTAACAATCTCAATAACCTCCTGTTTCATAAAGACTATTAAATGAAAGCAATATGAGTGTCCAATCATAACTAAAGCCTAATTAAGGAAAATCACCTTTGATTTTAGAAATCAAGAAGGACAGTACGAAAGACTTGAGTGCTTTAAGTAATAAAGAATCAATGATTAAGATTGAATAATAAAAACAAATGCAATATGATCAATGTAAAACAAATCCAATTTATTTAGGTAATAGTCCAATCTCGTGTCTAATCAAGTTAGTAATCTAAATTTGACTAAAGCACTAGCAAAATTGAGGATATCTCTCGGAAATATGAGGTTAGCAGAGTAATTGGGGGATAAAATGAGTAATATTTTTATGTTTACTCCTAGGTTTACTGATGAGTAAAAGAAATACATTCAACAGTAGATTAATGAATAAACTTATCAACTCAAAAAGATTGTTTAGGATAGTGTTAGTTCGATGCATGTTGATATGATTAGATAATTTTAAATTTAACAAAATGAAATGTAATAACTGCTGGATCAATATATGAAGGAACAAAGTAATTTGGTTTAGAGAATCTCTTATTTAGAACAAGAGAATCAGTAATTAAAAAGATAATCGTATTGAAATAAATTAATAATTTATGTTATAAGTTTATCTTGTTAGATATGATTGTTTTAAAATTCAATAACTCATTCCGAATAGAATCTTTTGCATTCTATTTTACGCCATATGCGTTATTGATTTAATACTACTTCTCTTCTCGTGTTCCTTTTTTATTCTCCCTTACTAATAAGAGGATGTCGAATAGCAATTTATAATTGAAAAAGTAATTGGTAACTATTTATATAGGAAACTACCGATTGGAACTTGAATTTAAATTAACAGCACTTCACTCGATATCCAATCATAGGAAAATTGAATGGTCAAGAATTTACCTTCGAAAAACATCATTATGTTAATCTTCTCAACAATAACACCTCAACCTACTTCCAGAAAACTAATTTTCATGGATACTTTGGCTATCTTGATTATCAGTTGGCCAATTTGATGTTACCTAAAGTGCATTGTCTCTTACTTTAGTTTTCAAAACGATAAACTTAAAAAATTATAAAAAATTTGCCGCAATGTAATAAATCAATTGGCATACCCATCACTCCCTGGTTTTGGAAGGGAGACCAAATATACTACCTTACTGAAATATGTTTCAAGATCTCAATCAAGGATACTAAATTATATTTTGAAGGTGGGTGCATGAATGACGGCCTCATATATAAAAAACTATCAACTGATGAAACAACAAATTTTGAAAACTTATCATTGTACCTTACACATGTAGATGGTCCATCCATAAATGGATTTCAATTTTCAGAGTAAAACAAAAAAGCATTTATAACATCACTCTATTTAACTTTAATATATTATTCCTTCTTATTTGGCATTTCAGGTACCATATACATGATATTAATTTATTGTATTTTATCAATAAGAAAAAGGAGTGAAAATTAATATGTATGATAATCACTAATATATATATTAAATAATTATTGTCCATTTAGCATATATATTAAAATAGGTGTTGGTTTCAACACTGGATATTTAGGATGATTAGGAATGAGAGTGTTGAATTAGATCTGATTTAAAGAAGTTTATTGAGTAAATGGGGGAGGAAGGAATTAATGCATATAAGTTTAGATGGAAATAGCATATTTACAAGAAGGGGAGAGTGATTCAAAGCAAATAAAATGAGGGAGAGTTTAGAATGTGTGGAAAAATGATAAAATGAGAATGGTTTAAATTTGAATATTATTGTATATAACTATATAATCAGTTATTAATTAATTGCCTAGTTAAATAAGATATTTTGGGAATGGGGGTGGATTTTATGATTCAAAGCTGTGAAGAAATTCAAATTTCAAACAATAAAAAAAACAAAATCCTTTTTCGTAACCGTCACAATGAGAGAAATCGTTCATATTCAAGGAGGACAATGTGGTAATCAAATTGGTGCCAAATTCTGGGAAGTCATTTCAGACGAACATGGTATTGACCCAACAGGAACATATCACGGAGATTCTGATCTTCAATTGGAAAGAATCAACGTTTACTATAACGAAGCAACAGGAGGAAGATATGTCCCAAGAGCTATTCTTATGGATTTGGAACCAGGTATGATATAAAATTAATGAATTATAGGAACTATGGACTCTGTCAGAGCTGGACCATTCGGACAATTATTCAGACCAGATAACTTTGTTTTCGGACAAACAGGAGCTGGTAACAACTGGGCCAAGGGTCACTATACCGAAGGTGCAGAATTGATCGACTCAGTCTTGGATGTAGTTAGAAAAGAAGCTGAAGGATGCGATTGCTTATAAGGATTCTAAATCACTCACTCATTGGGAGGAGGTACCGGATCAGGAATGGGAACCTTGTTGATCTCAAAAGTCAGAGAAGAATATCCAGACAGAATCATGGAAACATTCTCAGTCGTCCCATCACCAAAAGTGTCTGACACAGTCGTTGAACCATACAACGCCACCCTCTCAGTCCACTAATTGGTCGAGAATGCTGATGAATGCATGGTCATTGATAATGAAGCCTTGTATGATATCTGTTTCAGAACATTGAAATTGACAACCCCAACCTATGGTGACTTGAATCACTTGGTCTCAGCTGCTATGTCAGGAGTCACATGCTGTCTCAGATTCCCAGGTCAATTGAACTCTGACTTGAGAAAATTGGCAGTCAACTTGATTCCATTCCCAAGACTCCACTTCTTCATGATTGGTTTTGCCCCACTCACATCAAGAGGATCATAACAATACAGAGCTCTTACAGTCCCTGAATTGACCTAATAAATGTTTGATGCCAAGAACATGATGTGTGCTGCTGATCCAAGACACGGAAGATATTTGACAGCATCTGCTCTCTTCAGAGGAAGAATGTCAACCAAGGAAGTCGACGAATAAATGCTTAACGTTTAAAACAAGAACTCATCTTACTTCGTTGAATGGATCCCCAACAACATCAAATCATCCATCTGTGATATCCCACCAAAGGGTTTGAAGATGGCTGTTACCTTTGTTGGTAACTCAACTGCCATCTAAGAGATGTTCAAGAGAGTTGCTGAATAATTCACAGCCATGTTTAGAAGAAAGGCCTTCTTACATTGGTACACTGGTGAAGGTATCTACTTAATATTAATCTATTCTAGGTATGGACGAAATGGAATTCACTGAAGCTGAATCCAACATGAACGACTTAGTCTCTGAATATCAATAATATCAAGATGCCACTGCTGAAGAAGAAGGAGAATTTGAAGAAGAAGGAGAATAATGATAATCTAAGTGATATTTATCACAACATATATAAAATCAACAACAATCATCATTTTAATTCTTAACTCTATCTCTTTCAAATTAAGTAACACTATTTATGATTATTCCCTAATTCAGGTAAATAATGATTCTATTTTATCGAACCCTTAATCACATTAGTCTGCTTTATGCTCAATTAAACTTTTTCTTAAACTTAACTTCTAAAGTATTATATATAACTCACCATTGTTTACTGTAAATAACAATTGTTCATTACTATTCCACTAATTTGATAATCAATAATTTTCATTCTAAATATCAGTTTAAAATAATGTAATTATTCAAGTGAAATGAACTCTAATTTTATACTCATTTTTACTATTTCTACATTTCTAAGTTGTTCTCTATCAATTATTCTAGATTGTCGATCTACTCAATTCACCATTCTCTTTCATAATAAGTTTAGTACACAATTTCTACAAATTTGAGGATATCAAAAATGATAAAATATTAATAAAGGCTCCATTTACTCCATTATAAGTGTACTTAAATAGTTACAGTCCTAAGATCTAGAACAAGAAACTCATTATTTCTAATTTAACACTTTAACATTCTCGATTGTTGAATAACTTCAATGTGAAAATATTAAATTGTATTTTAGTATAACACCTAAGATTTATGATATAATGAAGGAAATCTATGCCAAATGAACTTGTATGATTAGAATGGTTGAGAAACACCAATTCTTCACATATTTAATAAATTATACTTCTTATAATTTAAGATGTCATATATTAGTTTTAAGGTGATAACAGAGACGAGATATTCACAAATAGTTCGTATATGCGGTAATCATCCACTTCTTGGTTAATGGAATCCCCATGACTCATATCAATTACTCACTTCAAGTGAAACCTATCCTGAATGGGGCCACGAAAGCAAAATTCAAATTGATCCAAGTAAATAATCGTTTTCAGCTTTTAGGTTTTCGATTGGAATTCAAGTGCCTAATTCAAGATGGAGATGATTACATTTGGGAGAGCATCCCAAATCGAATCCATAAGTGCGATTTTAGGCGCAATTTCCTCTATATAACATTCAATAAACCCTCAATGAATATTAGAACATTTTAAAAATATGAAATCTCGAATGAATTTGTTTAAGAAGAGCTAAGTATATATTTGTATAAAATGCATTTTAGTGAAAGTTTAAAGACTTAATCGATCAAGAGATTATGATCCCTTTGATAATGCTTTAGATTCAGTATGATAATCTTTAAATATAAAGTCTGATAACGAAAGCATTGCAGAATTAGCGATAGAAGAAAGAGGACCTGCCACTGTCTCAATTCGTTAATTGGAAGCGGATTGGAGAGAAATAATTAAGGTATAATAATAACTTAATCCATTTTAGAGTCATTTTGAATGTAAACAAAAATTAAAGTCAATATCTAAATTTAAAAAAATTTCAGAATAATATGGATCTTCCGACTTGATTTTTGATTATAAAAGAAAGCGCTCTTCTTCTACTCAAATTTTTACAGACTCTTATGTGATTTGTTTGTCATTGAAGATACCTTTAAAAATAACTTTAATTGATTAATTCTGTAAAGTGACCAATAAAAAAGGTATGTTTACCATAATTACATCTAGATTTAACAAACAAATATAAGTTTGAATCTACCTCAGATCCATATTATATCAATATGTACAATCTCTTTAGTATCCGATTAAGTTTGAAGGCAATCTGGATTGGATGGATAGGAATTCAAATTGCAGATGAAAATGAATATGCTTTAATCTAGCAATATATTTATGAATAGTACAAATGCTTTGGAATCTAGTTGGATGAGGATATTCTAGGCTGCTTTCCTTAGTTGATAAGTCCAGTCTTCAATAATTTAACTCCACATTTGCGATTGCATTCAGAGGATGATTACATGGAAATCAATAAGATCTTTGCAAAATATGTTTAAGAAGCATTACAATGCTCACTATTTCCAAACTAATTTAGCCATTTGCACTCGATATTCATTTTTGACTATCATCTCTTTTTGATTCCAATCTATATAAAGGAAGGATTGATTCGAAAAAATGAGAATAGACCAAGAATATGTACCATTATGAGAAGATCATTCCCAAATCCTAAATAGTTTCGAATTCTTTCATGCAGTGAAACCATATTATCATCTATATTAATGAGTGATCTGATCTCATTGATATAATTAAAAGATTTGTATTAATTTATGCATTGTCTACCTTAAAAATATCAAAAACTAACCCAAGTCTCTGGTGTGAGTGCATTTACAATTGAAGTCTTAGGCAGAAAAATCATACTGGATTATGGGAGTGTTGGCTTGAACATAAAACAAATATCAAACCTAATTACAGTAGACGATATTAATTAAGATTAATAATTTACTCTACTTGGAGTTGATAGTTTATCGCTCTTAAGTGGTCTAATATAAAAATTCAAAATAATTGAGTAGATGCATCTACTAAAGTAACATAAGATCTAATTAATTTAAATCTTATACACTAATAATGACGAAGATTATTAGAGTAATGGTTAGATAGCTAGATTCTTAGAAGAAGTAATGGCAATGGCAAAAAAAATTAATCAAAATTGTTAATAGGAATTAATTACTATTAGACTTGATCTATCATAAAGTGAATTAGTCAGTCTCTACGGAAAGGCTGACGTTTTCATAAAGACATCGCTGAGGGAAAGCATTTGTTCAAACTATTTAGAATACATCTATGTTAGATAGTTTAAAAAGAGAGCTGCAAAATTAGTCTTAAGTTAATGGTGTTCATTGAAAGTTGATCATAGAAAAATCAATCCTAACAATGCTTCTGAATCAGCTCAAACAATCTTTCATTATTTGATTGATCAAAAACAAACATTTATTAATGTTCCAAGTAGTGATGATTGGTTACATCGATTAAATGACCATTTAAGTTATTGTGAAGATTTTTGGTTCGATAAATAATTGTATGATTCAGCAAAAGAATTAACTATTGGTTTAAAAGATAAGCATTTTTGCTCAATTGAGACAACCAACATTGTTTCTAAATTTGCTAATACAAACTATCTGGATAATCAGAGAATTATTATTCTTGCATACACTTAAAAATTTTTATAGAAGATCCAAAAACTAGATTAATTAGTTTAAGCCTTTGAAAAATTAGCATAGGATGAGAACAATACTCTCATTATTGTTTCTGATTAGGAATGTGAACTCATGGAATTGAACTTTGGTTCCATCAATAATTTGTATATGATTGCATAGGATGGACTCTTTATAAAATAAAATAATCAAACCAGCTTCTAATAAATTGTAGATAGAGATGACTAAATATAAGCTAAATTAAAGTAGTTGTCCCTTTTGGAACATTTGAATTTAGCAGAAAAGAACTAAATTTATACTTTATCTTTTAAAGAGCAAATTAAAGATACAAATGCTGCTGCTAATGTTTTCCTCTCTAATTTAATTAAAGAACTTAGATTAGAGTTTGATGATTATTTGGTGTTTTAAGAGAATTATACAATTAAGATCAAGCATCAATATTAACAAATAGAAGAATTACTCAAAATGATTATAATAAATGAAACGAATCAGAAAGGCTTGGTTTCCTTTGCCAATATCATTTCATTTGATAGAGGATGGTTAGAAAAGATTATGCAAATATTTTAATATGCAAATATGCCTTTAAACAAAGTATTATTCCATTTAAACTTAGAAATTTCATTGTGTCTCAGTTTCAGATCAAATCGAAAAGAATAGCAACTTAGTTATAGAATCTACTTAAGATATAATTAAATTGCTAAACAGATATGCTATGGAAAGTTAAGATCAAAAAATGAAAACTAATTTATTTAACTACAATCATCCTACTAATTGAACAAAATTATGTGGAAAGTAACCCTTGACCTAATTTTTATCCTCACCATACCACCATCCATTGGTTGTCTTTTTTAATAGTTTTATTTAATCTCCCTTCTTAAAACTCAAATCAATTTCCTATTAAGTTATTAAATATGAATTTACTTTTTGTGCCTTATAATCGTACTTTGCAATCACAAACTGGCAATTAACCGATTAGTTTTCTTTGTTTCTTTTGGTTGATTTGTCTTACTCCTTTTGAATTTGCTAATCTAAATATCTTAAACTATGAACTGATGAACATCTATCTTTGTTTATGGGAGCCTCTTTCATTAGAGAATCAAAGACTGTTGGCTCATTCTCGTTTTATTTGAATGATTAAAAATAATGCGGAGCCTAATTAATTTCTTGCTTAATTTTTTTTGATGCATTAATTTGCAAAGGCATTTAATTCCTTTACTTTTCCTTAGTGAACGGTCTTTGTTTATCTAGTGTATCAAAATCTGTGAAATAAGGACTTCCTAATTAAGAATCTGTAAATGGTTCACTTGATTCAAGAAATGCATTGAATTATTCTTACAAAGTTGTAATTTTATTTTATTTTGCAGCATCTGGTATTTATAGATTATTATTATTATTATTATTATTATTATTTACATGAATGCTCTATTTCACAACATTATTATTTTTATTACGAAAAGATAATTCTGGTGAATCATGCATTTTTAGTTATTCTAAAGTCTCGAAAAATCCATTTACATCAAATTCTTCTGGTAAAAGGCAATTTCTCAATGTAGGAAGGTTCAAGTTCTGAGTTTTAGAGATAAATTCTAAAATAAAGGACGTTGAATGCTTTGATAATGCAATTAATGTGTCATAAGCATTACTTAGATTTGGTTAAAAAGTTTACACTGACTTTTAGAGGAATGTTAAGAATTCTATACTTAACAAACAGTTTTCACAGATAAAAGATTTTAAGCCATTATTAATAGTAATTTGATCTTACAATTATTTTGTGAGCAATTCATTTTTCTTTTATTCCATCTATAGGTTTTACTACATAGTCTTCATGGATTGAATCTTCTCATTTATTTTCATCAGCTCACTTTAATATGTTTAACGTTCATTGCTTAGATTTGTATTGATTTCTTTATTCTAGCGTTCTAATGTAGTTATTTTCTTTTTTAGATCTCCTATTGTGGCTTAATATTTTGAGGATTGATCTTTGAGTTCTTGATTCTCTAATTTAATTTTCTCATAGTATTCATCCTTATTTAATATGTTTTCAATTATCGTATTGGCCATAGCATTGCTAGAATTCAAAAATAGATTGTCTTGATCTGTGAGTTAATTAAAATTCAATTTTCTGTTACTCTTCTACTTCTATGGTGTTCTTTTTGGTGACATAGATTTAGTTTGTTTTTAGTTTGCTTGAGCGTTCTCTAATATCTATAGTAATTCTTATTTCTTATTTTATTGGCGCAGAGGTTCTTTTTTTGTTAATATTTGTATCTATGTTTGTAGTTGCTGCAAAGATTATTAATTAACAGGTAATACACCATCAACACTTTAATTTAATTTTTGATGTTGAGAGAATGCTCCAGGCTTTATTTGTAATTTACTATTTGGCACTAATTTCTGCAGCGAATACATTTTAAAATTAAATTAATCGTTATATGTATGTCTTTTAAAACAAAAAATCACTCAATTGATTTAAAAACGATAGCGCATCTATTAGGTAAATAGATTTAGATGTGATTAGGTCTACCTTGCCATTCTTCCTTAATGATTGGGAAATTTTGACCATAAGAGGGTGAAACTCTTGAATGTCCTCCAAATCTAACATCATCAGTATCTAAAACTATTCTATGATCTGTTTCAAATCTAGTGCCGACTCTAAAATGTTCATATGACTATTAATTAATAATTATTAAAACTAAATACCTAAGTAGGATGGAAATTAAATACAAATAGAAGAGACCCTCTCTCAAAAACAATTACTTTTGTTTCATTGTGTTTTTCAGTAACCCACTGTTCACCATTAGGTAACCAAGGGTATTTTTCTTCAAGATTAATCATTTCAGCATCAAATTATAAGAGCCTGGAATACCTTAGGGATTAATCATCAGCTAGATCCCATCTTCTTCTGGCATGATGATAGCTCCATCCATTACCCTCTCTTGGAAAATCAATCCATTCAGGATGTCCAAATTCATTTCCCATGAAATTTAAGTATCCTTCTCCTCCTAGAGCAAATGTAATCAATCTTAACATCTTATGTAACGCCATGCCTCTAAAAGTAACTAAGGTTTCTGGCTGAAGAGTGCTCATTTCGCTATAGATTTCCTTATCAAATAGCCACATGGAGAGAGTCTTATCTCCTACTAATGCTTAGTCATGAGATTCAGCATAACATATGCATTTTTCTAGATGTCTTCTATTTGTGAGTGTATGAGTGATATCTCCCATATCCCAATCATCATCTTTAAATTCCTTAAGTAATTTAATCCATTTATCAGGAACAGCCATAGCCATTCTATAATCAAATCCAATTCCCCCTTCTTTAATGTTACGACACAATGTTGGATAACCAGACACATCTTCAGCAACAGTAATGGCATTAGGATGAATTTCATGTATGAGATCATTAGCCAGCATCAAATAAACTAATGAATCGATGTCAGCTAATTCATTAAAGTATTCGTGATATCCGCCTGTAAAACCATAACCATTTCCATGATGAACATACAACATAGATGTAACACCATCAAATCTAAATCCATCAAATTGATATTCGTTTATCCACCATGACAAATTGGATAATAGAAATCTTATCACTTCCCATTTAGAATAATCAAATAGCTTAGAATCCCATAAATCGTGTTTGCCCTTACCACCCGCATGAAAATATTGATAATCAGTGCCATCCCATTAATTAATGCCATCTAAAACATTGCTAGATGCATGACTATGAACTAAATCCATCAAGACAGTAATTCCATGAGAATGCGCTGTGTCAATCAACTCTTTCAAGTCATCTGGGCTACCAAATCTACTGCTAACAGCAAAGAAGTTAGTAACATGATATCCAAAACTTCCATAATAGGCATGTTCTTGTATTGCCATTATTTAAATAACATTGTATCCAAGTTTAACTACTCTTGGCAAAACTGTCTATGTAAATTCTTTGAAAGTGTGGACTCTTGGGTCGATACCAGCCATACCGATATGTACTTCATATATTTTAAGAGATCTAGGTTTTGGTGGTCTGTTGTGCTTAAATTCGTATTTATTCTCTGGGTTATAAAATACTCCGTCATATAACTTACATATTTTATTATTTATTAAATACTTTATTCTCTTGATTCTGCCATGTAGTTCGTATCCAAGCTGGGATTCTGAATTAGTATTGACCATTAGCATCCTTTATGTAAGCCTTTACTCTTGAACCATGTGGGATCAAATAGGAACCATCTTCATTTCTTGGTAAAAATATTTCCCAATTTCCAAATGAATCTGAAGTTAGAGAATATTGCATTTTATCCCAATTATTAAAATCCCCTGTCAAATAAACTTCTTTTGCTCCTGGTGCCCATTCCTTATATGTGATTCCGGTGTCAGAAATCAAAAACCCATATTTCTCATATCTAATATTAATAGATCTAGATACCCCTTGGCAAAATCTTTGAGTGAAGATTCCACTTTGACTATCTACTCTAGTAATTCGAAGAATTTTGCATTCCTTACTTAGAAGTGCTATTTGTGTGGTTCAAGATAGGGATCATCCTTAAATACTTGCAATTCATCGGCATTCTTTTGATAGCGTTGTGTGAATTCTTCATTTTCCAAAACAGATTACTAAGCTACTAATAATAGTCTTACTTGATAAAAGAGGGAGTTCTTTTTTTGTAATCTTCTTCCTGGGACATTTTTGTTAGAAAGAGCACTTCCTTAATCAATATATTGCATTATTAAATAATAATTATTGTTGTGTTTTTTAGGAATCAGATTGTTTTCAATATGTGGATCATGAAAATTTAAAAGTTTTCTTGTTGTTCCTGGAAAGTGTTCCAACCTCTATAAGAAAAACAAAATAATTGAGTATCTAATATATATATATATAATTAATTTAAATGGCTGGAGAAAAATTATAAAGTTCAGGCAAGCGCAAGTGTCAGCCTAAATGCCCTGAACATCAATTCAATCTCCAACCAAAAAGTACAAAATGTTGGCTCAAACATGTTACCAACATTGATTTTTGCCCTTTGTATAATGATGCTGTATGAGACCCAAATTAATATCTTTAGTTATCTTGTTATGAAAATATAGTTCCAGTTTTCAATTAAGATGAATAGCAATGTTTACCAGGGTTCATTTTAGAAGTGGATCGAGTATAATTTAAATGAATACATTAATTAGAATGACTATATAAAGAGTATGTAGAAATATAAAGAGGATCATTAAAAAAAAGTTTAGGAATACACAACAAAAAAAACTAAATTAGTAATACATTATTATATTAGTAGTAAATTCCTAAACCAGGCAGAAAGCACAGATATTGTGGAGTTTGTCGCAAACCTTATGCAGATTATTTGGATGTAAATTTAGGAATCTAATAATTTATTTAGCATATCAAATCTGCAGATCACATAAACAGTTTTAATAGACATGAGTTTGTTCACGTGATATTAAAAATAGTAAATGAAGATTATAAAAGTAAGGATGAAAATAAATTACAAAATGACTTCTGTTTTGATGTCGCTACATCTACAATCCCAAAAAAAAGAGGACCAAAACCAAAAAACCCAGTCCCTTAGGCAGAACCAAAAAAAAGAGGTAGAAAACCTGCTGAACCATCTTTAACTAAAAGAATAAAAACACAACCAGTTTAAGAATAATAATACAATCCTTACAGACCTCCATAACCTCAATACTACCATATCTTCCCTTTTCCAGCCCCTTTGAATCAAATGTTCGCTCAATTGCCATATCAATAGCTTGTCAACATTCCCTTCCCAATACAGCTCGGATAAGAACTCAATTTAGAGAGAAAGATTGAGGATATGAGTAAGATATTGTGTTACAATAGTTATGGATGGATAAATTGAAGAAGGCCCTCGATTTGATTGAAAATATAATCTAATAATAAAAATAATTGAATTTTTAATGTTCAGGCTAATGTTATGGATCAAAATGTTTACTTAAGAATTTGGTTTTGTCCGCAATTATTATTTCTATTGTTTTTATGAGAAATTAGTAATTTATTGATGTACAATCTAGGATTCTAGGATTGAAATAATTAATTTATAAAATAAACATATATGGCAGAAGAACAAAATTTGAAGGAGGACTCCAAAAAGAACGTAGGTTAAATGGGAGCAAAAGTAGTTCCAAGAGGTTCGAAGGAAATTTCAAACATTCTTGGAGAACGTAGGTCTTCTTATAATGTTGATGGGCTTGATCGTGTAGTTGTTGATGAGTAATTATCCATAAATATCATAGAATTGTTGATTAAAAACAGGTAGGAATTCCCCTTATTGATAAAATTGTTATTATTTTAGTGGTCTTCTTTACTTTACTGGTATTCATTAACTTCTCATTTACATGTAACTTACTTGGTAATAATATGTATAGCTAACGACGCTAAAGAAGATGCAGACATAGATAAGACACTTTTTATAACCAAAATAATTGAATTGGTGATCCTCATTCTCTTTGTTTTGGAAATTTCAATACGATGTATCACAGTTGGATTTATAGTAAATGTTATATACATTAGGCTTACTTTTCGGATTTGTGGTCTGTTTTTGATGCTCTCATTATTTTTGCTTCAATTGTTTTAATCATTCTCGATCTCAATTTAGAAGGTGATGCATTTACAACAATAAGCAAAGTGTTAAGGGGAATCTTCAGATTCTTAAGATTGTTTTTAGTCTTTCGAAAAGTAAATTTCATAATATTTTCCTAAAGTTTAATCAAGTCAAAAAGATTAATAATGCTGGGGCAAGATATGTTGTACGATCCCCAGTCGAAAAGGTAATTGAAATTATGAGGGATCTTGCAGATTAATTCGAAGATCCAGATATTATAAAATAATTAAATTGGGGTATAACACATATATCTAATAACACTGTTTATGAACCCATAATTGAGGGAAGAAGGAGTGAAGCTCTTGGTTGGCTCAATCAGCCACAATAACATTAATAGATTTCTCAAGATTTAAAACGCTCAATGTCATCAGACATCCAATTTTTTGACGAATCTCATTTGCCTGAACAATTAAAGTAGGATTTCGAATAAAATATCTTGAACCTAGATTATGATTACTTTTCTCTATTTGAAAAATATGATCTCTCCATACTGACTCATTTAATGTGTTACTATTTCCAAAAAGAATAATTGTTTAGTTCTTTGAGAATATCTCCAGAATCATTTAAAAAATGTGTGGACAGACTAGCTTCAAGTTATCACAAAGAAAATTTGTACCATAACGTTATTCATGCCTTTGATGTTACTCATACTGTTTATTTTTTTATTCAAAAATGCAACTTTAAGGAAATAGGAAAACTATCAAAAATAGATTACTCGATTCTCTTATTGTCAGCTGCAGCACATGACGTCGATCATCCAGGCTTGAATAATATTTTCCTATCAAATACTCGACATGAGTTGGCTATGACTTATAATGATAAATCTCCTCTTGAATAACATCATGCATCCACATTATTCAGATTCATTAGAGAAACAGATTTGTTAACAAATTTTACCTTATCTGATTTCAAATACTTCAGAGAAAAATCTATCAACATGATTCTTAGTACTGACAATGCCATGCATGGAAAAGGTATTGAAATTCGTTTTCATTAGATTACAATAAATTAAAGGCAAGATTAGCTTCAAATGATTTTGATCCAGGAGCTAAGGATAAAGGAATTTGTTTTGATACATTGTTACATGCGGCTGATATTAGCAATCCTTTCAAACCCATGAAAAACTATGAAAAATGGACCTTCAGAGTTCTTGGAGAATTTTGGCTTCAAGGAGACAAAGAGAAGGAATTAGGTCTTCCTATAACGATGCTTTGTGATAGGAGAACTACAAATGTAGCTAAAAGCCAAATTGGATTCATTGATTTTATGGTAATACAAACAACTAATGATAGGTTCTTCCATACTACAATACTCTAGCATAAATACTCCCCTAATTAACAGAATACATTGATCAAATTACAGAAAATAAAAAAGCATGGGCTGAAAAAATAGAGCATTATTAAACTCTTTTAAATACATAATGAATTGTTAATATTTCTAATTAATAATTTTTAGTAGTATTCTCAATAAAAATTATTAATTATTATTTATTATATTATAATATATTCGAAATATTATTTAAGATAGTAATAAAATTGATATTAAATAATGTTAAAAAATTTTCAGTCTTTATAATTGAAAATTTTGTTTTTATAACTGATTTCCTCTAATTTTTTTGCATATTATATGATTGGTTGGACATTTATTTATTTTTTAGATCGTAGTAAATCATTAAAAAAATTAAAACTCTGTATATATTTAATTGCTACCCGTCTAAAAATTTCCTCATCTAAAATCCTTCCCAATTAATTACAATTATAATTTCCATCTAATAGTTACTTTAGTTTGGCTTCCGTTTCTTCATTTTACAGTATCATTCTGATTTCCTTAACAACATGCTTTATGTAATATTTATTTAAATTTTTGGTTTCTCCTTCTCCAATTTCTTAAGAAATACCTTTGCTTTTATATTTAATGTTCTTTTTATTTTTTTTTGAAAAGATGCGATTTGTAGATTTTTAATCCTGTTACCTCCGATCATTATCATCCTCACTCCAATTATCAGATGATAGATCTTCTTAATCTTGATTTTGAAACTATTCATTATCATTTGGCTAAGAATAAAAATCGTCTTATCGTTGTTCATCTCCATTTTAATCCAATTCCAAAAGATGTTGTGTTCTCAAAGTTTTTCTATTTTGACCAATAATTATTGGGGAATAATCTTCCTGAATGTTCATGAATCAATTAAATTATAATGAAAGGAATAATTTTAATATTATGTTAAATATAATAAAAAGATACATTATTTAGTATTCTAAATATTAATTTTCATAATTCCCCAGAAAAACTGATTAAACTTATATTCTTCAGAGCAGATATAACATAATCTCACAAATTTTGAAAATAACTTCAATTCAAAAGGCATCTATGAATTTTACTTATCAATTATCTATATTTCATGTGTTAACAAAATAAATAACGAAATATTGAAAAATCTCTATTAGATTAAGGGGGAATATATATTGAAAATTAAAATAAGTAATGAAAGAAAAGTCATTTAAACCAAGCACCCCATATTTTAACATATGCCTTCATATATATTCAATTAAATACCTTACATTTGATAATTTACACTATTTACCAGTAAGATTAATGAACAAAAAATATCCAAATCCAAGAGATACAATCAAAAAATTGAGCTAGATGATTATTCAATTATGATGTTAGTGAGAAATATGATTCTAATTAATATTATATTTTATTGTAATGGATAAATTATTATAAAGAGAAATTAGGAATCATTTCTAAAATGAAAATTATGCAGCTGATGTAATCGATATGATTGAGAAAGATGAAGAATTAATCAAGAAATGCTATGATAAAATGGATGATGTAATTCATGCACTATATTTAGTGGTAATTTCAAACAGAAGAGGATTTTTTAAAAAAGAAACTGCAAATGCTTGGCTTATGCGAGAAGAAAGGATTGGATGGCTAAGTGATGCTTTATCCAACAATAAAGAAATAAAGGGTATTAAATAGAGATGAATTCAAAGGGATGGTCGATAGATTATATAAAGTGAAAAAGATGTCAGATAATGATTTTGTTCATCTTAATTAAACAGCCAGAAAATAAATATAATAAATGAAGGTCAAATAATAATTGCTACAAAAATAAAAGAATAAAAATACAAAGCAAGAGTCTTTCTTTGATATGATATCAGATTCATCAGAAGATTAAATTGAATGAACAAATTATCTCTTATTCAATATATTTTGGTTCCTATTTATTAATAACTTAAACGCAATTCATTATAAATTATAAGCTATTTAATAATGCAAATATTAATTTATATAAAATTAAAGAATAACTTATAAATTCCGACAAAATATTGATAATATAAGCAAATAAAAGAAGCAATAATTATATCATTAGTAAATACTCTAATGTACAAAGATTCAAGCAGAAACACTTTTGAAAAGAAATTCTAATATGTCACAAAGAAAAGAGTGGTAGCATATTAAAAATTAATAATAACTCAAAACTTCTCCAACATAAAATTGGAAACCGAGTTTCTAGAGGGCATAGATAACAAACCTTATATGTATAAGGATGGCTAAAAAGAGTTCAATTAAAAATTTTCACAATAATACAATAATATACAAACTCTATACAAAAAATGCTTAAAAAATAAAATAAACAATAAACACAATAAACAAAGAAAAGAAAAAGTCACTTTCAATATAGATAAAGATCTTGCATATGATTTTTGAATTAACCTATTTTTTTGTATATACAGTGCACAATATTTAAATCAAAATTATGAAATAAAGCATTTATTTTTTCAATTAACTAATTAACATATCGAAAGTTAATATAAATAGTCAATCTGAAATTTTAAGCAAAGAATTTGATAATATTATATATAAAGGAATTCTTCTTAAATTTGATAACAAAATGAAATGATTAAAAATAGAGGAAATGTAAATTAGGATTAGGTAAAGAGTATTAAAAGGGATTCCCATATATATAAATTGAAGAAAATTATCAGATGGGGGAATTCTGATTTAAAAATGAGAAAAATAAATTAATAAAAGTATCTCTGAAATATTATTTATATTTACAGATATATATTCTGAATCTTCTAAAGTTCAAAATACTTAAGGCAAGGCACTTTTGCACAATGGGCAAGAGAGATTGATTTACATCCACTAGCTTAAACAAGAAGGGTGAAATTAATGATTCTAATTTATTTATATAATTTACGCAAGGGGTTTTCATTAATAAATTATTTCGAGATGCTTAATTGATAGTTTGTAGTACAAAGGGTTCTCCTTTATTTAGTGTATATTCAGGGATTTATGATAGATTTAACAAGCATATTGCACAATCTGATTGTGTGTGTTCATCTGTTTACTTGATGAAGTAGTTGTATTAATTCCTTTTCAATATGAACCATCCAAATTGGTTTTAGCAATAATAAATTAAAAATTAAATCACAAGAATGAGCACTATAGCGAATACTACATGCAGTTTTTGTAATAATTCTAAAATATTGTCTTGAAATCCCCTTGCATATATTGAAAGTAAAGCTCTTGGAAATATAGCTCCAATATAATATATATTAAATCTCTGTCTTTCTCCTGTGTAAAAGGTAATGGCGATTTAAGGAACAAGGAAAATATTCAGTAAGGTTAATTCGATCGAATGTCTAATTCTCAAAAATAAAAAAGTGACTGATAAAATTTCAACAATTTATAGTAATAAATATCTCTTCTTTTATCTTTCCATATTCTAAATTGTTATTATTTTAATAATTACAGTCAGTTTTGCTTTCAATTTGAGATCAGAAAAAATAGCAACCAGCTAACAAAGTAAACAAGGGAAGAAGTAATAATATCTCGGAATGTCGAAAAGCAATGAACTGAAAATACAAATGAATATATCTTGAGTCAAAACAATAGATATTGTCATAGATGCTCCCTGATTTGCCGCTGGATCTGATATTAAGTAAAAATAAGAGCTAATTATTTAGACTATAGATATGAATATTAAAAGCATTGAGTATGTAAAAGCTTGCATTTGATAAGTCGAATTGCTGAAAATGAATAGACGTATTCTCTCTTCAGTTACAATACATTACTCAGCAAATTAACTATGTAGAATAACTGTTTTAGTTTAAACTTCTAATTAGAGAGTAGCTTTGCAAATAGTAAGAGGATGCTTTTGATTGTTTTGTAATTCAATTATAACATCTATATTCTCCCAAGTCATAAGACTAAAAATATTCAACTTGGTTACTTTTAATTTGAGTCAAAATGATATGAATTATTTAGAAGGGAATAACTGAGTCTAAAATAATGCTTTTCATGTAATAAATTGTGTTTCTTGGGATACACTTACATTATCAGATTTTAATTATCATAGACTACATTTATATAAACCAAGTAATCTGAGCTTGCAGTCCATTACCCAAGCATTAATCGATCCTAATTTTGTACCAAATATTTATAAGCTTAATCTAAATCACTCTAAAATAACTTTACTTTAAATATTACCTAGCTAATTACGTAACCAATAATGCAAGCATATAAAATGATATTCATTAAACTTATTTATATTAATATTTATCTTAGATAACCTTTTAATTGACATCTATGATGTAATAATTTAGATAATTAAAATAGTTACAGACCATCAAATATTTAATATCATTTTTTTAAAAAGAAAATTATATTCCTGCTAACTCATTGATTTACACTAACTGATTTTTTTTACATAGCTTAATTGATTTGTAAGTGTGTTGAGTAGCTATCAAATGATCTTCGTTTAACTTAAGAGAAGTTTAAAAATAAATATTTAAAATTACCAATTAACAAACTAATCAAAAAAAAATATTGTCAATAAATTATTGTATTCTTCAAATTGGATTTATGTCCTAAATTTTAAGTAGATAAAATTTAGTGTTTATTTTCAATATATTGTCACTAATAGAATCAGATTAATTATCTTGCAAACAAATTTTATAAGAAATAAATAAAAAAACTCATATGCCTTCATTGGAATTCATATATCTTTAATTTAATCAAAAAAGATGATGTCACAATTCAAGATAAAGTTATAAAAATAATTAAATGGTTTATAAAAATCTAAGGAATAATTTCTTAGGGTACTTTTGAGATAAATCAGCCATTATTTAGACAAATATTATAACATTAGTTTGAAATTATAAATGTATTTAATATTTTTCAATCAATTTTCACAACCAATTATGAAATTTTAGATAGAACCTATTAAACCTTGATTCTGACATCATCTTACTAATGTCCAATTAATTAGACAAGGTATGGCATCAAATAAAATAAATGGCCTATGTTTGATTATAGCAATGAAGTTTCTCCAAAGGAAGTTTCTTATCCATCCAAAGATATGAAGCTTATAAAAGAATTTTCTGGTATTTTTGTTTAAATCAGATAGTTTAACAAATCTATTAGTTTCTTATCATTGTTTAGTTATTCAGAATTAGAAGACTACAAAATCTTTTGGCTAGCATCTAGTAAATATTAAAGAACTTTTGAATTCTCGGATAATATGCATAACTTATGAATAGCAATTTTGGAATATTAAGATAATTCATACAATTTTTGAATGAATTCCATGAATTCTGATGAATTAGATAATTGAGGATTATTAACATAAATTTGTGAAATTTCTTCTATATATGAATTTTGAAGTAATTGATTTTCAGAATTCAAGATCTTACTCTATTATTAGATATTTTCGCAAACTGATTTATCTGGCAAAACAAGTTATAACGTTTTTAATATCTTTAGCTAACCTTCAGCATTACTGGTTAGATAGGTTTTAGCTCTTGAAAGATAATTTTCAGCCATTATCATATAGATTGATTTGTCTTCATTTAAGGTTTCAGTGAAATACAAATACTAATCATTATTTCTCATGGTTAAAATAATTTTTTCATAGAGTTCTTAAAATTAACAGAAAAAGTCAATATTGCTATCTAAAACAGTATTGAGTTGTAAGAGATGTCTCTTAATTAAGATGTGCTTAAACTTATTATTAGGAGGTTCTTTAATTAATTCATGAATATTAGCTATCATTCTTTCAACAAATTTTTGGGGTTATTTAGATAAATTTTACTAAAGGGTGGCCATCATTTATTTTGGTGCAAGGTTGTCTTCAAAAAAGATTTTGTTTTGAATTAGATCAAGCTTAGAATGAACTATGATTGGGTATTCTAATATTTTATAATAAATATCCACAACTTAGTCAATGAGTATGTTTGAAGCCAATTTTACAATATCATTCAAGAATTCCAGTAATTCTGGAGCAATATGTAGAATTAGTGTCTTAATGTATTTAATGTCTTAGTATTATTGATTAAAAAGAATTGATATTTGATCAATCACATTAGAGAAATTTTTAAGACAAACAATAGGTTTGTATAGGAATAGCTCTCGCATTTATTTGGCTGCTTCCAAGCTTAAAAATGGTTTACCCTATTAAAATATAACAACCAAGTCTGGCGTTGTTTCTTTGATTAATAATTCAATATCTTAATCTCTAAAATAAATAGATAATTTACTTCTCTTAAGAGGATTCATCAATAATAAGAAAATACTTTTTTATTAACTTTATAAAAGCTTAGATTACACTCTTTACAGTTTCTTCCCATTAAGTTACATCTAAATCTTTATTTTAGTTCTTTTCTTAAAATGTGTTATTAATGTTGTGCATCAACTTCATGAAGATGTTTTCTAAGATCTTTTTCCATTGTGAATAGAGATTTTGACAATTTAAATGAATCAATAGATTGCTAAATATATGAATTGCTGAATGTCTGATTTCAGGAATAGGGTCTAAGGCTATAACTGATAGCTTTTAAAATATCTCAGGCAAATATAATTCAAGTTCTTCGTTGGTTAAGATATTAATCTATTCAGAGTTATGGGAATTATTTTTGGTGATGAAATCTCCCAGATGCCAAAGCATATTACAAATTTGGAAATTTATGTTTTATTCGTCTATTTAATTATAAACTGTAATTACTTGAATTGGATTTATATTTCTCTATAATTTCAAATAACTTTTTAATTTATTCACCATTTAAATTTGATAAAAATTGATTTATGATATATTCTGTGCATGCTAATCCTTACTTAACAAAAATTGTTGTTTATTCCGATCCAATTTCTAATAATAAGACTAATATGGAATCCCAACCTTTCTGTTAGATTTCATGTCCATTATTTTGTAGCATCTTTAATACATAGTTTAAGATTATCTCTTTTAAATCATTTTAGCTCAATGCACACATATCAATCCAAGGCTAAAAGAGAGTTTATTAGTATATAGAATCAGTCTTATACCATTTCTCTTTGATAAATTCTGAATGATGCTATTGATTTTTCTTATAAAATTAAGTCCAGTGTTCAAATCCATAAAATATAATCTAAGACAATGTATCTGCTGCATTTAAAACTAAATTGGTGTTACGTGAAGAAATAACTGATATGAAATGTGCAATAATGAGTTCCCAAAAAATATCTAATCTAAATACATTAAATTTAATTAATTCAACTAATTTTGATAGAGAAAAATATTTCTTTTGATCTCCAAATTATGAATTAGATCTCTTTAACTCTAAAGTTGTTTACTATTCTAAGCATTCAATGGTTATTTAATTAATAGCATCCATTACCGTTATCAAATGTTCATTACCATAGGTAGGACTTTATGAAAACAATTAATCTAAACTTTAAAATAATATTGTTATATCTAGTGTCTTAATTTATTCCTCTTAACTTGAGTTTTTGGCAAGACGATTTCTTAAATAATAATTCTCACATTCTTCAAATGTTTTAAAAATACAAATCCAACTACTACATTCTAATAAATCTAAAATAAAAATTATTTAATATAATACTTCCAAGACAATTAGCAATATTTAATACCATTTTATTAATCTAAATGTGCTTTTTTGAAAATTCTTATCCAATTTAAGGTTTACAAAATTCACAAATAGTTTTTATAAAAGCATTCTAAGCCGCTTTCATTTAAATTGAGCCAACTATATTAATATAAGATTAAAATGCAGATAACAAATTTTATAAAGTTTACTCATCTAGTTCCTTTGTTAATAGATATTTGATTCCCCTTAAATTCAATTTCCAGGTAAATTCAATAATTTGATAAAATTTTTCGGTTGATTGTAATTTAATTAAATTTCCTAATTATATTTTTTATTAATCAGCATAAACATATAGTGAATTTACAAAACGTGATTAAAATTCACTTAACATTCTGCATACTAAACCATTATCACTAGGATATACTTCAGAATTTTATTATAAATTAATTGTAGGACTTGTCATATCCATCCATCTTTTCTATTCTAATTCAGTGGGATCAGAGATGTCCTTAGCCAATCCAGATAATAATGTAATAATATCTAAGATATAGTTCTATCAACTTTAATATTATATAATGTACTTTCTCATTCAAAGGGATTAAAAGCAATTAATCCAAAAATATTTAACTTTAGACAAAATAGATTAAGGTTTGCAATCCTAAATTTTTATGTATCGAATGTTCATTTGATTTTATTTATTAAATTAAAATATTCCAAACCTCTCCTGATTGTGGTCCATCCACTAAAAATGTTAGGCACTTAAATGCTACCACAATAATTGAGCTCTTTATCATGTTGATAGGTATTGCTAATATCTTTCTTAGAACTTAAATAAGATGATTTGATAACAACTCTTAGATGGTTGTGAATTAGGTGAAGAATTTTCCCATGTTTGATAAAAAACTGTTAATACTTGACAATCCAAATTCCCTATCCAGAGGAACTGAGGGAGGAAACCAATGAGGACGAGTGTAATCGCATATCTTAATCAAATCAGACAATATAGAATGTAGATTTTACACTTCTTTTTAATGATCTATTGGGGTATTGGAAGTAGCTTATTATAAATTTTATTCTTGCTAATTGTCTAAATCAATAATGATATTCATGTCATCAAATCCTTGACCGGCTATTATTAATTGAGTCGATCCCGAGAGTAATTCAATTAATTTATCCAATGATGTTTCTGCTGATGCTTAAATTATAGGCATTTTAGAATTTTTCATGAAGAGTACGAATGTAAGACACTAAATGAATAGTATGATTATTCTACTTTTTCAACAAAACCATAATTACGAAAATTAATGAAGTCTTAATGTATAAAAGCCATAAAACTTTGTATCAGTTTATAATGCAATTCATCCTTTTGGATTTCCTTAATTTTCAGAAAGTAATCTAAAACATCTTCACTTGTTTGAATCTAAAATAAATGGTTTTCTTTCTTACATCGTTAATCACTTTTAGGTTGATCAATTTAAGCAAAAAGCAAATTAAAGTTGTATGAAATTTGGCTGATTTTAACTCTTTTGAAGCAGGTATTAATATCTTTTAAATTTCTTATCTTGGAATATCTTGGACACCATTCTTTTTATTTTCTTCCAAAACCTTTTGAAAGTTGTTCAGAGAATCTTTCATTGGAGTGTACTTCTTTTTAGACGACATAGCTTATTTGATTATCGAAATTTCACGTAATGCTAATTGAACTCTCGATTCTTACATTATATATAAGTATTTTTATTACATTATGTTTTATTACTAACCCCTAATTTCAATAAATATTAAATTGAACAAAATTATAATAATAAATAGAATAAGTCCAATGTCTCATATTCATGACTTGATCTTTTTGTTAGTCTCCCAAAATGGTTCAATGTTATGTCTGAAAAGTGATGACACACTTGTCTTTGATTCTTTGACAACATTATACTTCCACAAACATTATCCAAAAAATTCTTGAGAGAACATCTTCCCCTTCTAACAATTTAGAAATTAGTTTAATTCATATTTTCCTATTTTATCTCCTGGAATTTATAAAAACTATTTAATATGCTAGTCCTCTTTCAAACTAGAATTGTTAGTCTTATTGCAAAAATTCCTTATGAATAGTTATAATTATCTTCCATAACATTTGTGTAAGTTCTTGCTCTCTCCAGGAAGAGCTGTCTATATTTTTTTCTGAAAATTATTGTAATAGTATACTTTTTTTATGACTTTGGTTGTCCCTGAGCTCTAAATAATTTCGATATTCGTTGCTTCTGAATTAAGCCTAACTGAACTATCGATACCAAAGATTTAATTCCACAGTGAAGATTAACCTTCTTCTTGAAAAGCCAAAAAGCTGTTATTATTTGGAAACTCACTTTAGCATTCATTGTAGTCGTCTGTTTCATCACATAATAATTTGAACATTTGATTGCACACTTTATTATTTTTATTGTCTCTATCTTTAATTTATCTTGTTTAAATAGGTGCTAAAGATACATTTTCATTTTTATAAAGAAATTAGTTTCATAGCTTATTTTAAACACTTATGTAATGTGTAAAGAAGAGACTAACAAGAAAAAATCATTGAGAAAAAAATATTCTATTTCCCTATAAAACAATTCAAAGACTACAATAAATGATAACTATTTTATTAATTTATAAATAATAGAATAAAATATAATTTATTTGCCAATAATTAATAATTTTTGTTTTCTGCATTAAATAAAGTAGAATACTATTTAGATTGATTAAAACAATGAACATAAAATATAAAATAAAATTGAATATCTGGTTTTTTAAAAGCAAGAAGGCATGTGAAACTCTTATCTAGAGTAACCAATTATAAATGTTGGAAAGCGTAGTTATTCTATACATGGAACAAACACGTTTGACTATTAATTTAGGGTATCTAGTTAATGTAAACTTTTTCTGCCAAAGTAATTCTCAATCAGGATATCAAGAGATTTTTTGAAAATATGAGCCGAAAATTAACAAATGCTTTTTGGATTCCCTTTCAATTTCATAATTTGTTGATAAAATTCATATCAAATTAGTGGAATATAGCTAAGATATGAAGTAACCATAGAATAGACTGCAAAGAATGGAATAAATAAAATTGTCAAAGGAAGAGAACTCTTGATTTTAAATCTCATTTAAATAACTTAAAAATTAATGTTTAATTAACGAAGCCAATACCAATATCTTCACAGATTATATTGAATGTGAATTTTTAGTATAAATCATTCTTCTTAAAGTTTTGAGATTCTATTCTATTACGTCTTAAAAATTTTTATTAAAACATTATTTCAATTATTAATATTTATAATCAATATACTTGATTGGCTTTATGTGATTATATTTAGCAGAGTCTTAAGCATCTCCCATTAAATATGCTTCATTGGTTTGAGAATGACGAAGGACTTTATTTTTGTTAAATTTAACTAAATGCTGTTGGAATTGAAGGGAGGACATTATCATAGTGAATATATGCAATAAGATAATAGAAACATAGCAAATTATATAGACAGAGGAATGAAAGAAAGATATATTGAAAATTAGAATAAATAAAATTAATATGTATTTATTAACGCTGCTTGAAATCATTCTAGTTACTATATACTGTGCCAAATTAATCAACAATATTTGCTGCATTGATGTTAACTTTATTGTAAAAGTCACATGTTTGATTTCATGGTTGACGAATTTTATTTTGCTAATTTTGATACCATTAGATATTTATATAACATTTAGAGATTAAGAAACAAATAACAATTAGAGTGATTTGGGTGTGCATTCGAGAGAATATGAAGCAATAGGAAATGTAAAATTTCATCTAAATCAAGATGTATCAAATATTGTATTGGGCAAATTTCATACTTTGTTGGACAATCATTCCAATAATGTAGGAATATGAGGAAGCGACTGATCTTAATCGAGCGTAAAAGTTTATGAGATCCTTGATCAACAATGGCAAATTTTTTCTAGCAATAGGAATTGCTGGCATTGTATTTGTTGTCATACTTGTGATGACAGGATAAGCGTCTGATTATGGTTTAGCTAAGTTACTTAAAAGTATGGCTAATTCCTTTGGTGTGGCTTTGATTATAGTGTTGTTGGGGTAATTATCGTTAGTGTATAATTTTAGATATTCTCTCATAGCAGTTCCAAGGGCTCATATGAGAACTTCCACTTTGGATGTGCAAATGAAATATTTGTATTTTAAAACAGCCAAAATAACAGAGGAAAAGGATGAGGCCCAACATGAATTATAAGAAAAGGCTAAGAGAGTAGTGGGTATTAGAAACTAAAAAAAATTTTAATAAGAATCCTCAAAAACATATTTACAGATCAGTATTAAGGCTATTCCTAAATCTATGTATAAAGATTTAGTAGAGGAGGATGCCAAATCCAAGGCACCAGGAATATCTTATTTGTAAAGAATGTTCTTTAAGGAATAACCTGAAGCCACAGATGAGGAAATGGTTGAGATTTACAGAGATATTCGATAGAAGGCAAGAACTTTTAGAAGATTGAGAGCAGCATGGAAAGAGAATTGCAAGAAAGCATATGCATTAGAAAATGTGATAAATTCGGTAGAAAATCCTGATAAAAAGATTCATTATGATTTAAAATCAAATAAAAGGGAAGGATCTTGTTCTCAAAAATTAGATACTTTAGAATGGTATTGGCTATGTTAGTACAAACCTCAATTCAAAATATTGTTTTCTTTGTTTTTGGGCATACTATCTTTGTTGGTTATTATATCTGAAACTACCCTATTTATGAACACTCCATTTACTATATTTGGAATGCCTATATCATTATCATCTGGAGTGATATCCCTACAAATATTTTGTTTTGTTCCTTTGTTTTATATAGCATTTTGTGTTTATTATGGAATGTTTAGAATTAAGATAGCAGGATGTTATGGATTATACGACGACCATTAAACTGATGCTCCTAGTCTCTTATTTGCTACAATCAATTTCAGTAGAGTGGCAGCTCCTCTATGTCAGAACTTTTTGAATATGCTAAGAGTCAAATAAAGATTGAACTGTGAACCAGCATTCAAATATGCAATGGGAGAAGTACGTTTTTATGATATTTTTAAAGATGGAATTTGTACCAATTTTTGGAGTCAATGTAATCTAGTTGATGCCTGCCTTACTCCTCTTTTTGTGTTTCATTAATTACTTTGATTTGTATGATAGATTTATGAACTTTCTTGGATTAAAAGAATTTATGTTTACTGAGACATTCTCTGATCGCCTTATCTTTAGAGGTAGAGATGCCTTGAAGGACAAGAAGGCGTATTTTATGAAGAAGGAGATGAAAAAGTAAAAAGGGACAAAAAAAGAAGGTGATATTGAATTACTTGATATTTAATGATTGTATTGATTTATATTTAATGTATTGTATTAATGTATCAATAGACATTGCCTTCAAAGGTTTATTTAAACCATTCCATGGCTTCCTTTTTAGAGACTCTCTAAGCTGTGCCCAATCTAGCATTTCTTGATTTTCTTTAAGCAACTCTTAATCCTGGTCTTGACAAGATCACATAGAAATCCATACCAAAAATACCTAAACAACATTTGTAATAATTGATACCTGTATATGGATCATACTTTAATCCCAAATCAATATGTTCTTATATGCCAAATCCAAAGTTTCCTGATTCAGAGAAGTTTCTCTTTTTCAATTCCATTTCTTTAACTCTCAATCCTCTAAATAATATATCTTTAGCGGCATCTCCTCTTATAGTACAGAATACAGAGATCTTTTCATTTCTTCTGATACCAAAAGATCTGACTGTGTATCTTGCCTTACCGAATACTGGCTTTTATCCTGTCAAATCCTCCAAAACTTTGGCTGCCTTTGTTAATTTATCTCCTGACTCTCCAGCACAAATGTGAACCATTAATTTTTCAATTCTAATCTTTCTCATCACATTCTCCTTAGTTTCTTGAGGTTTGACAACTTTAGCAGGAGCTGCAGGTTTTGCATCTGTCTTTGGTTGTTAAGCTTTTCCACCCTTTCCCTATTGTTAAGACATCCAATATTTAATTAAAAAATCTTTATATATTTAAAATCACTTTTTAATGGTTTATTTTTTCTTTTTCCTTTCCCCACCTAATCAACTTTTTTATATCTAATTATTGATGTCACAATTTCCTATTAGTGAGACTGCAAAATATGAATATCAATTATTAGTATAATTTCAATAGTAATGATAATTCAGTTTATATTCCTGTCCCCTTAAAGAACATTAAATATTTTGACCAAGTTCGGGTGGTTCTTTAAACAGATGCCTTATTATACAAATAAACACATATTCTGATTTGGATTGAAAGTACAACACCATTTGATCTGAACTGGTTGATTGAGAAATCGGACAATCGCTTATATAAATCAAGACTCCCTTCCCGTACCTGCTCAATCTGTTTCTTAAGTATTCTAAAGTGGTCTTATGGAATTGTGATTTGCTGTTGTAGTAAAATTCGATAATTTCATTCTTAATGAATTCATCAACAGTTGATTAAATAATATTCATATAAATATATATATATATAGAAATTTTACCAATTTAGATTATTATGAAATGCTAAGAATTATTCATTTTGTAATTAAATATATTAAATAAATCCAATAATGGGCAATGTTTAAGCTTTCGTGAATTATAACACAGAGTTGACTTTCACTTCTGATTTAAATGATTAAATTTAATGTTGTGGAACAATCTTTCATCCAGCATTTGGAAATATCCAGTTATGGAAAATGAAGAAGAACACCAATCTCGAACTCTTTTCTTTTGTAATATACATCTATAACTCAAGACAAGACATTTATACTTTTAAGATTCCATATTATTAACTATTCATTCAAAGAGAAACTAATTATAACATCCAAATCTTTTGTAGTATTATGCCTGTACTCAAAACTCCCCTTAATATTGCGGAAGTGTCGAAACTTAATAATTTTACTTCGAATATATTTCCTAGACACTATCTTAATATTTATGCGCCAGATCTGAACCATTCAGAGAAATTGAAGTCTGGAAAGTAATCTTTACGACCCTAATAAATTAGTCCCTTGAATAATTAGTGAGCGTACTCAAATACTTGTAAAACAATGGCTAATCACATGGATAAATTACTTCAGATCATATCTTCATAACTTCAGATTAAACTCTAAAAACTCTGGACTAAATTACAATTTAATCAACCGATTAATAGATTAAATAAGATGTTTATGATCTAGCCTAAGTTATAGTAGAACTTATGACTAAAAAGAGTATTTTCCATTTCTATTTTAGAATTCCACGCCAGCTTAAAAGAAACTGTGATTTCATTATCTGCTGATTATTCTTAATAGCTCCTACAAGTATTAGCTAGAATGCTCAATCAAAATCCTGAGAAAAGGCCAGACTTCATAGAATTATCTTATATAATATTCAACCGATAATACAAATCTACTAATAAAGAATTAGAAGTGACTTTAAATCCTTCCATAAATAAAACCCCTGACAATCCTTATTATCCTCCTTTGAGTTAAATGATAAATGATAGAAACAAGAAAACATTCAATTAGAATCTCTAACAAAGATAACTATCACCTTATAAAATGATTCCATATTCACCCTAAAGAATGACTCCAAAGCAGTTTTCTCCCTCAAGAATTTACGGTTAGACTTAAAGAGTAGCCTAACCACAAAGAGTAGTTTAAGCAATCAAAAAACAGGAAGTCTACTCCCCAATCAAACAATCACTTTAACAATTAAGTTAACTATATAGAACTACAACCCCTGTAAAAGGTAATAAAGCCAGCTCTTAGGCGTCAACAATTAGTCATAATGCTTCTATTATTGATTCTTATAGGACTTAATATCCCTTCTCCAATCAAACAAGAAATAGACCGAATAAACTCTAAATTCCTCAACATAAAAGTGATGTGAAAAGAATGTTATTTAAAGATGATTTGAATTAGACCTAAACAAGTTAACCTCCAATTGAATTGGTATTATGAAATAGATATAAAATGCATTTAATTAAATTTATTGATATTTATTTATTCTTTTATAAATCTCTTTTTTTCTATTCCCTTCTAGAATTCATAATGGTTTTATGGATTATAACAACACACCTATATTTTTCAAAATTCTTTCTTTCATTAATTAATTTGAAAATATGCTTTAATTATTAAATTTTCAATTATTGAAATTAACAGCCTTCTATGAAAAAAGCAACAATTTATCTTGAAATATTATCAAAAGGGTTATCAAGTAGATAATTGTAAAAAATGTATAAATAAGAGAAATATGATTTTTAATTCCGCTATTGATTAATGCACTATAAACCGCTTCATAGCTTAAGAACTTTAGAGAAAATATTTAATTTCAAAGTAGTCTTATAATTTTGAATATTATTACTTTAGAAGTGCTTTATACTAATCAATATACAGATCATTCCTATTATACATTTTAATATTTGAAATTTATACACAAAATTTTTAATCGTCATTTTAATATTTAATCAGAATTAATTTCACAATAAATATATTGCTTATACTAAACATAAGAAAGCAAATAAACTATCAGAAACTGATTAAATATACTACTATTGATAAATTATACTATCAATCTACCATAAAAAATGATTTTAGGATGCACATTTAAATTTATCGATAATGTTCTTTTCAAAAACTAAAACAAATCTATGCATGATGTTTCAAAATTGATTTTACTATGATTATAAATTATGTTAGATGAATTCATAGATATTGTAATCTTAGTATATGAATATACCAATAGAACAGAAAAATACTAAATATATTATTTATCATATTTACAGATTTCTCTTATATTTTAATCTTATATTTAAAGTATTTGGTATTAACTATCATATTATAATCGGCTACTGTAATCGAGATTGTAAAATATTTATTAACAGATTTCAAGTAAAATTATTCATATATTTTATATTTTCTAGCCCACTAACTTGATCATATCAGATGTAATTATCTATGTAAGTCTCCATACATTACTAATTATATCTCATATAGCATATTTTCGATAATATTTTTATATGTATCTTATTTTTGGAATATCAGTCAAGCCTCTTTGAAATTTGTTGCATAACATTTTTGTAGAAAATGTTAAGAGAATTGGTATTAGCCAAAATTCAGCTAAGAATTTCAACATAAATAGATTATAATGTGAATCTACATGTATTTTTTGAAATACAAACTACAAAAATGATTATACACCTTTACAGGGATGAGACTTTACTTTAGTTGTAAATTTTCAATCTGATTACTGGTAGAGGATTATATTTTATGAATTCAGTAAATAAAGAATTGCAATTTTCTAAAAATAATTATGTGTTATTGTTTCAAAACTAATTTTTAATTCTAAGCTATAACCTTTTTCTGTATTATTCTTAAATTGATAAGGATACCTTCAAGTTAGCTAAGACCTATCTTAAAATCAACAGAGAATTTCAAGTTAAGAATAGGATAAGGAAATGTTAATAATTGAATGGTTATTATTAATTTATTTTCAAAATATAATTAATAAGATATAAAAAGACCAATATCTTCAATTCTTAATGAATAATCAACAAGGACCCTTCTCTACCCCTGCGTTTATCATAAAACTGTATGATATGCTAGACGAACAAGTATTTTTATTTGACGATCTCATCTAGAGTACCCCATAATTTTAAACAATAATTAAGTGGAGTGACGATGGTGAGTACTTCATTGTAATGAACCCCAAAGAAATGGAAAGCCAAATATTGCCATAATATTTCAAACACAATCACTATTAATCCTTTTTACGACAATTAAACATGTATGAGTTCCAGAAGGCACGGAATTCAGAAAATTATGAAATATTTACGCATCCAAGTTTCAAAAAAGGAAACAAGTATTTATATTCTTACTATGTTAGGAAACAATTATCTCAAATTAAACGAAACCCAATCAAATAGAAAGTTTTATTAAAAAAGGAAAAGAAAAGTGTAAAAGCAGAATCAACTGAGGCTGAATTTGAGTAATAAATGGAACAAGAGTTAACATTCTTGAAATAGAGATAGCTAAAATTTGAAAATGATTTCAAAGCGATAAGTGAATAGAACTAAATTATAATGGAACAACACAATTCTATATGGTCCTAATTAAGTTTGTCCAGACAATCGTTAGATACAAAAATCGATAGGCTTAGCTATTTGTTAAGTTTCTTCTTGAAATAACAAGATACTAACATTAAAGAAAATAATGGATAAGATTTATTTAAGCCCAATGTCAAGACTGAACTCGAACCTCCGTAGTCGCAAACTTAATAAATGGAATCATTATCCCCAATTCTAAGAATGATGTAATCATAACTAAATTATTCACTGAAAAAAAATTTATCAACTTTTAGCCCAAATTAATGTAATATATTAAAGTTATTATCCTTAGTAAATTCTCCATTGCCTATTAGAAGTTAATAAGAAAATTAGGATAGCTAATACTCGAATTTAAGCCCCTATTATTAGAAGTCCTTTTAAGATTACATGTGAATAAACTAAACAATTTGAAATGATTGATTTTCGATATAAAGCAATATTAGCTTATTATTTTAATCAGAAAAAGATTTAAAGAAACCCAAACTCAATTTATAATCAACAGCCTTTCGAAGGATCGAAATATAAACTTGATCAATGACATATAAACGTCTGACTAAGATAAATTTAAGTTGTGAAATCAATTATTTTTTGAACTGGAAAATAGAGTTACGCTTCTTAGTTTACTTTTTATCTTGTTTACAGTTTCCAATTAAGTTTGGGTTTTTTTATGTTTAATATCCAAATCTGTAACATCCTATTCCCTCTTAACAACCTTCCCTTCACTTAAGGTATCCTCATCAGGTTCTTCTTGTTCTATCTATATAGATTTTTAAGTTTCACAGAAGACTATAGTACCATTGTTATCCTCATAAATTTTGAGATGTTACTCCACTGGTCGTAAGTCCTTTTTTTTAGCCATATATTTCAAGAATGGTATTAATCGAAGAAGACAATCATCATCTTCTGAATCTAAGAAGGAAGGTATTAACAATCCATTATCCTAACACTTTATAAAAGCATTTGGATTATTCTAATTATTGATTATTAATTACATCAATGAAGATTATATCTCCCATAGGTCTGTCAATTAACTAAAGGTCTTTATAGCAAATTCCATCGATAAATTGACAGCTTCCTCTTGCATAATAATCACTTATTATTTTTTTTTTATCTATGAAACTTAACACTTCTTAACAATAAGCCTCATAACCTGCTGTAAAAATAAAAATTTCATAATCTTTGCTAGCTTCTTATAAAAACTGATTTAAATAAGGCCGAGCTTTCAAATATACTTTGTATAATTATCCTTTGTGAATGACTTCAAGCAATACCTCATGTTGAAAATTTTCATTTTCTTTGAATTCACAATGAACCAGTGTTTCATCTAAATCAAGAACCAATACTTTCTTCTATGAATATTATTTTGGTGTTTGTGCTGAAATATAATTTTTCTAAAATTTGCCTTTAAGATGCTCAAAGCAATTTTTGAAAAGAGCAACAATACTCATTTTTTTTATAAATTTATGTGCAAATAATCAATAATATTTACATTTATTTATTTAAGAATAATTGCAAACTTAAGTGATACTTTCTTATAAAGGTTAGAATTGATTCACAATTAGAATGTATCTTATAAGTGTAAATACGAGAAACAATTAAAAAATAGTTTTTATTTGATTATATAATTTGAATGTTAATATAAAAAGTTAATACTAATATTTATCATAATTTAAACTTTTAAATATGGAATAATTTTTTGTTTGAAATGTCAATTATATCTCTGTTAGTATGGATTAAATAGTTTTAAATTTGATTTGTTGGGCAAGACAACGTCTTTGTTTTTATTGTCTTCTGTATAGATGAAGACTCTTGATACAGCTTGTTTAACTTGATTTCTGTGTATGAAGCAAAAGAATCTTCTCCATTGATCTATCTACGGGAAGTGAGAGGACCATCTATTTTAAGATCATTTAATTTTCCTTAAAAAGATTTTGCCAATTTAATCTAAGTGTGACCTCTGTTATTTTTTTATCGAAAGAGGTTTTTCACTTAGTAATGTTACTTGATATTTTAAATCTAATACTTTAATGGCCAATTATTGTTATTAATTTTCTTGAAGAACTAATTGATGCTTTACTTTACTTTCAATATATCGTATTTATTAACTTTTATCAGTCATTCTAAGAAACCTATCCTTTTGAACTTAATCGAGTTCATGATTTTTTTAGAGGAAATCATATATTTCTTATTCTACTTGTTTCTCCACTTGCATAGGATCTTTTTCAGTGAAGAATCGATTAAGTTTCTTACTTCTGTTTGGAGATGCTTCTAACATTTTGGAATCTTCAACCTTTGTTGACTGAGTGTATTACTATTGGTTTTTTTTTTATTAAGGAAGAGCATTTCTCCTTGATTTGGCTAATTGTTATTTTTTTATTTGTTCCATGTCATAATTCTGAGTTTGCTTTTTCTTTTCTCCTCGAAACAACTGCATAACCATTTCCATCTTCAATTTAGCTTTTTCTTATTCATTATCTTCATCCTTTTTCTTTTTATATCGTCTTAACATTTTTTTAAAAATATGAGCATATTGTTAGATTTTTGCGATATCATCAGCATTTCTAATTTCTTATCTTCTATCTATAATATGATCAATTAATTTCACTCTTTGCTAATAAGTGTTAAGACCTTCAACGGCCTTCTTTACCTGAGATCTTGAAAAAACATCTGAAATTTTATTGTAAGTTTTTGAAATCAGATCACTCATTTGTTAATAAAATTACTAGCTAAAATATGTGTAAATAGAAAAATATTTAACATAGAAATTTTATATCTTAAACTTTCAAATCCCCCCCCCCCAACTTTAAACAACTTTACATAAATTTACAATTACATATATAATAAAATATATTTATTTCAACAATTACAAATGCTTCTTCACAATAATTAACTGTAGTTTTTTCTAAGCAAGTAAATCCTATCGTGCTGGTAGTAAACATTCAGATCATATTGACCAATGAATGATAGAAATTGTTATTGGATATTCAATTCCTAAAGATGTGCAACATACTCATTCTTCTTTTTATCCACCTCATCAATTGTGAGCAGAGATATCTTTGCATCGCTGTAATCATTGTCATTTTCACCCCCAAATATCAAGATTGAATTCGAATTAATCTACAGACAAACACTATTCAACTTGAATATTTAGTCTTGTCCACTAGTCAATCTTAATTAGGACCACTTATGTCTTTTCGTATCATACCTATAAAAGATTATTATTATTTCTAATTTACTTTTCTACAGTTTTATCAAAATGATCAAAACGATTCAACCCACCAAATCTAACCAAATATCTTTGTTGGAAAACCACAAGATTTACTTTTGTTAAAGGAGTCTAAAAAGGCTTTATCTTCTACCATTCTAAAGTTTTGAGATTAAACCTTTCGCAAGCATTGCTTACCTGTTTATTTTGATTTTCACCTCCAATCAGATAGATATAATGCCCTACTTAAGCAACTCTGAAGTTTCTCTTCTTCTCAATCATGTTAGGTAAAGCTTAGAGGATGGAAGAATGCTCATTGTACCTATAGAAAGTATTGTCAGCAGCCTAAGAAAATGGGTTAAACAAGAATATGATTCCTTCTTTAGTTGCAAATGAAATCAATTCATTTGTAAATAGGTGTTCGACATCGCAAGCAATCTTTTAAACATTTTCAGCTCCGATTTACCATTAAAAGAAGTACTTTGTGTTGGGTTTGAAATAGTGTAGAAACTCTTTTTAAGGATCAATAAAATAATTGATATGATTAAATTCGATCTTGGGTTTCTGACAATTCAAAGTACAAATAGTAATCGGTGTAATTCGTAATAGTTATTGTCCACTTTCAGCTATGTATGATCTATGTTTTGGAGGTTAAATATCTAGTAAATGTGATTCATTTATTTTGCCTTTGAAACTCAATTCTACTGCTTGATCTAATATTGTTTATTTATATTATTCTGAATTCAATTGATATTTATGGTTGTATTTCTGAATTGTTTGTTATTAATCTGATTGTTCTTCCATCAATGAATGTTCAGCATTTGAAAATGAAAAATTCTCTGCTTCATTTGTTAAAGCATCATCAGCTATTTTGATAATGTTTTCTGCCTTGTCAAAATGAAGAGTGTTTTACAATTTAGCCTGACTCTTTTCTTCTCTTTTCTTTTCATATTCCTCTTTGAGTGGCAACTTGTTATTTGAATTTAGATGGTAATTAATGAGTTCCTTGTAATGACCTTTCAAAATCTTGTTTGCAATATCCAAAGGAACCAACAAGAAGGTTTAGGCTGCAACTATCGCAGCATTGTGATTTGCTTGATCTACTTCGTAGTTGAACTAGATATTGGTAACATCATTTTGGTTCAAAAATCTAAATAAATGTTACCATATCTGCAACAATTGCATGGTTACTTTAAGTAAGTTCAATGACAAATCATCATTCAACAATTGTATTGGGGTTATGTTGATTTGTTCCAATTCAATACTGTTCAGTACGAATTAAGCAACTTTGTCAAGAGAATTTAAATCGGCTGGATTGAATACTTCTATCTAGATTGTTTTATATTGACTTCTAAGTTGGATTATTTTAGAATTAATACATGTTTTAGCTTCCTCCCATGCCTTTACTGGAAGTAAGTAGGTCTTCGGAATCTATAAATTAATAGAAATCATGCAATCCTCTTCTCAGATCAATTTCATGCTAAGTCAATAAGGAATAAGGGTCTTCTTTGTCAATTTCTGATGTCAATATCAAGATCTTGTCTTAATAATATTGAATGCTATTTTTCAAAGCGCAGAATGTTTAATTATAGACCTATTGAACATAACTGAGTTTTCTTTTGACTGCCTACAAATCAATGTAGTTTTGAATAATATTCTAGTCCATCACTTTTTTAATGAAGTAGTATTGAAAGATTCTGTGTAGGAAATTTTAAAAGATGTCGTATATTCTGCTCTGATTGTCAATTAAATAGGAAAATAATCCGCCTGATTGGGGAAGCAATATGGATTTCTTAGCTTGTAATTTAGGTTGAGATGGAGTATTGATAATTTCTGAGAGAATATGAGAATTCTGGGTCTGACTGAATTAAGGGTAGTTCTCATTATTATTGGCAAATTCTTATTGTTATTCGGCATTTTGTTCTTGTGAAATTTGGGAAAAGGATTCATTTAGCAGATCTTGGGATATAAAGACTGCCTGGTCTGGATTTTCTAAATCTCTGAAACTCATATTAACGGATAATAATTATTAGAATGAGTTTACAATAAATTATGATTACAATTCATTTTTAGTAAGATTGCACGAATAAGATCATCAATTAATTAGCTTTAGTAATACTTGTTTAAGCAAACTGATATTCAATGGTTTTGTGAAGACTTCCCTCATTCCGACCTCAATACACCTTTCAATATCTTCGGCTGAATTAAAGGCTGTCAACCCAATTATAGGTATGTCAGGTATAAGATTGTCTTCAATCATGCCCATCAACACCTTCGTAGTTGTCCATCCATCCATTATTGGCATCTAACAATCCATTAAAATAAAATAGAATAACTAGCAAGTATCAGAACACTTCTCTGTCTTCTCAATAACATCTATTGCTTATTAACCATTGTACGCCTAAATATAAACAAAAAATACATACAATTTACAATTTAAAACCCATCTGAGTAATTATTACCTACAAAGCCTTCTGATTGAAGATGTCATCATCAACACTCAAAATTCTTGAGCATTTGCATGGAAATCTTATGTTTTAAAATTATTCTTCCATCTCTATTTCCTTCTCCTCTCTCTAAATTAACCTAGATACAAGAGTATTTGGTCGATTACTTGAAGAGCCATCTAAATCAGATATACTAAATGAAGATTGCCTTCTCCTCTTACTCTATCGATCTTTTGTTTCAGTATTTTACGCTATTAATGCTGTGTGTATACTTTGACTATTTAATTTTAATAAATTAACTTCTGGATTGGTCCTTTCTGAATCTAAATCATCTATTAAATCAGTCTCTTATTAACCACCTTAATTAAATATTCCAGAGGACTGTTATGGTTTGAAATAATTAGCAATAGAATGTTGTTGTCGAATTGGAATTTATTATATTGATGTCTCGAAAATCGAATTATCTGGTTGAGGATTATTGATTATCAAAATTCCTTGTATCCCCATGCATAAATCAGGTACAGTTTAGGCACATTTCAGATATGTTCTCTAAAGAGTGTTAGCTCTTAAAATCTGTGTGTTTGTTGATTGGGCAGTTCGAATCTTAAATGTCACTTAGCACCCTTCTATATTATCACGTGATGTTATTCTTAGTTGACTTTTGTTCTATGGGGCCAATTTCAACAAATTCATCTAACTGACAAGCAGTCCGAAACCCTCCCACTCATCCTAACTAGAAAAGTCTCTACTTTCATTAAAGGACTTTAAAAACTATTAGATTTGATATAATTTGTTTTATGGTATTCCTATTCCTTAGTCCTTGATACAAAATGTCATGGTTCTTTCAGTACTAGATATTTCCAAAGTTATCAATCCTCTTACAGAATATTTTATTGAATTTTATATTAGATTAACCAAAATTTGCATTATTCTATCAAAGTCAGACTCAATATGAGGTGGAACTGAATTCTTTACGACGATGTGCAATCCTAAATTCTTTATTGTACAAATTGGTCTAAAAATATCATTAATTTCTTAGATAATATTTTCAAAATTGAATTCTTGAATATTGTACTTAATCACATTTGAATGAAATTGAGTAAAATCTATAATATCTCGAATTAAATAAGCCTATAATTTTAAAGCATTTGCTGCTGGTTCTATACAATTAGTTTTATAAGTTTCCTAAATTTATGGGTCATTTAGTAGAGCATCTAGAAATAACTTAGCACTATTTAAAGGAGTTCGCAATTCATGAGAGAAAGAATCAATAACACTAACTTAAAATTTTTCTCTTGTCTCCAATTTCTATAAATAACTCTGCAATGAGATATCATCCATTATAATTAGATACTCTTTGTCATTCTAACCACAAAATATTTTGCATTAGATTTTACGAATCGTATCATCTTCAAATAATTAAGCTGATTTATTCTTTGCTGTTTGACCTAGTAATTCCAAATGATTCTCCTTTGATTAAAACTAGTCCAAGCTCCCGTTTTATAGTTCTGTTAGAATCTCTTGTAGGGTATTTGGCATATTTTATAAACTTGTAACTTTGCTACAACTATAAACCTAAGATAAACTACTATTTGGTTGTTTTGGCAGTCTGATACTAGATTCTCTCCCTTACTTTTTCTTTCTTTTTATCTGGAGTTTAAATTGCAACTCGTTCATTAAATATGTTTAAACATCCTTGACTCCTTAGAACATTTACAAAAGAGATTGATTTTAAAACATGATTTACAAATTCTCCTTTTTCACAATCATAATTCCTACAGGAATATTTTGCAATCTAATCATCCACTAATTGCTAATTGAATCTTAAACTAAATTAATTATTTCTGCATTTCTTTGTGTAGGCTTAGTTTAAGGGGAAGGTAGTTCCAATTCTTGTTATAAACATAATTTGGATTTAGGAATCATGATTAAGGTACAGTAAAATGCCAAAATGTATAAAATAATGTTCTCGCCATGATATAAGAATAAAGAAAACAACACTAAATTATAGACAACATGATATAAAACACATCTTATTATTGATTACTTTTTGATGATTTGTGCTTCTTAAAATTTAAGCAGCAAATAACTGCACACATTTACTTCACGATTAAGAAAACAACAGTATGTAATTTGAATGCTAAGTATTATGAGTATTAATTGTTGTAAATGACTCTAATTTATTAACTTTTTCTGTAATATCAAAATCCCAGTTAACATTATCATTCCATTAAGCATCAGAATTATTAAAGATCCTAATTAAGTGATATCTTATAAATAAAGTAATAATCCTAAAACAATATTGAGAGTGTTTATTGAATGAAACTTTATTAAAATCCAATTTAATTGCATTAATTAATTAATATCATTATATTCATTCTAAATAGCCATATTAAATTAAAATAGAAACAATGATAAAGCCAACCAAAAATTTAAATTCGTTAAATTTTTTTTGTATTAATTGAATTCTTTTATCAATGATATTGAACAGTTATTGTCTATTTTTAAGAATATTTATTCATTTTTCTCTTGTTTCAAATAAAAATAGAGATTTAAATTGAAATTACTCAGTTCTCCGCTCTTTCAAATTATCGTAAATTTTAAGCTATTATTTTAGTCATTATAAAATTAAATATTCAATAACAATTAAAAATGATAAGAAGGAATGATAGAAGTATTTAATGTAGTGTAAATTGTACTGCAAATTAAATTGCAAAATCATTAATTTTTTGGAATTGAGGGAAAATGTGTGAAAATTTAAAATTGATTGTAAATACTAAAATTTGACATCAGACATTAAGATGGAATTGAGTTTAGAATCATTAACAAATATGAATAAAATAGATGTTCATAATTAGTAAATAATTCAAGATTTTTCTGTTTAGATTTAACGAAAACCCTATATTACATTAAATAATCACATTGAATTAGAACATAATAAGTAATTATAATTTTTTAAAATATGAAAATGAATTCATTTATATATATACGTAAATTTTATTTAGCAAGATTTGAAGCAATTTATTTCAAACAAAATTTTATTAATGTCGTATTCATATCTTAAAATCGATTTTACTTTAAATAGTCGTCTAAATAATATAAAAAATGATAAAGAAGAAGATTACGTTTCTTAATAAAAAATATCAGCTAAGCTAATCTGAGGATGAGAAAACACCAGACACAGCCTTGACTCCACATTCAATAAAAGAATAATTACAAAGTGATGATTCAGATACTGGTACGCCTAGTAAAATGGCTCTAACTCCCTTAAAAATGTCTAAATTCAAAATATAACATGAAAAAAGCAAATCTTCTTTTGCTCACGGTGGCAGGGCTTTGGTTAATAGGAGAGACATATTTGCAGAGCACCCATTTAGATAGTTGATTTTTGGATAGAGAACAACATAGGAGACTCTACTCAAACATATTGAATAAACAAAAAGAGGGGTTACCTACGCTGCTAAGTCATTGAAACCTCCATCAGAGAAATTTTTACAGCAAAAGTAAGTAGACATCCCTTTAAAAGACAAGGAGAAAAAAATATTGATATTAGATCTAGATGAAACATTGATACATTCTTGTACAAGCAAAGAGAAATCTTAAGTTTAGTTAAAAACTGAAGATGGACAATTAGTATTATATAGTGTAATATTTTAGCTTAGATTCAACGTGCGACCATATTTAGCATATTTTCTTGATTGTTTATCTACTTTTTACTAGATATTCATATTTACCGCCTCTTCCCCCTCATACGCTTTAGCTTTAGTTGATTACATTGATCCACTGGAGGATAAAATCTTAGGGATATTTACTAGAAATCATTGTCTCGAAACAAAGAATGGTTACTTTATTAAGGATCTTCGAATCCTTAGGGATGTTGATTTGAAAAACATCATTATCGTTGACAATTTAACTCACTCCTTTGGATTTTAATTAGAGAATGGTATTCCTATTCTGGAATGGACCGACGATGAAAAGGACCAGGAGTTGAAATATTTGGTCGACTATTTAATTGAGGCCAGTTAATATGACGATGTTAGAGAATTTAATAGAGAAAAGCTCAAATTACATGATCTTATTGATTATATTTTCTGAAAAATTATTAATATAGGATTTGTTATAATGCTCATGAGAGCTCTATCTAGATTATGAATAATACTCTCATTGTCCTTAGCACGTCTTGCAAATTGTTTCTCAACAGCCACTAAAATAGTTCCTTAACTTCGATTCAGCTTTCAAAGCTAATGGATGAATATTTTGAGGCAAATTTAAACGCAGCAATGATAGATTTAGCTAAAAATTTCTCTCTTCTTAAGTCAATACTCCTGCCAATTGTTACATTTGTAAATCTGGTACCAATAACACCTTATAGGTTTCTGAGATCATTTCAATAACATCTTCCACTTTATATTATGAAATGTATTTCTCAATAAAATTAATGGCTCTTGTCTTTGCTTATTTTTCTACTTCTCTTTCCATCAACAAATATGAAAGGGTTATTTTCTAACATTATTTAATTTATTTATCCTCCTATACTGATCCTCTTTATGGTAATTAATGTCCAAGTTGTTAATCACTTTATTAATTATTTTATTGATTCTAATGTTATTGTTGTTGCCCATGATTACTCCCAAGTTGCTTATTGAGTAATTTTTATGATTTTTTTTCCTTTTTACTTTAGTAGCATTTGGATCCATGTCCAAGCACGTGAATGGCAATGCCCTTGCCAGATTTAGAATTTTTACTAATGCTCACAGGAGCATCAGCAATTATTCCTTCTTAAACAAAGGTACTATCTCTCATTGCTTATACAGGATTCGTTCTTTTTGCAATTCTCTTATTTGCTTGATTTTCCTCTATAAATTGTGGATTTAAAGACTTAAAATTTTAAAAAGAAAAAGTACATTCTTTGTGCAAATAGATGACATTTCCTGCATATCTTAAAAGTCTTCATCAACTGATGAATTATAATCTTAAAAATCTTAACCTCTCTCTTCGTCAAAGAATGATGAATTTGTATGGGTTTCTGTAGATTTGTATGTGTATTCGAATTCGTTGCTGAGTTTTCTTTACTTCTAAGTTTGCTTCTCAATTGTTGACATATTAGCTTGTGTATTAATTTAATTAATTATACATAAATCAATACATCTGTGTTACAAACATAGTAATAAAAGAATTACTCGTAAATTATTAATGTTTAAAAATATATTTATACAATATTCCTGTAAAATATCAACTTCTCATGTTAATAATAAAGATCCATTCATCTATTTTCAAAGCCTTAATATTTTAATTCAATAATTGACATCAAATTTATTTATTTCATTACAATTTTTTATTGCTATAGAATATTTTCCTTTCTTTTTGTTTAAGTTATTAGCTGAAATTAGAATAAAGAAGAAAATTACAAATTGTTTTATAATTATTTCAAATAAAATTATAATAAATGAAAATCATCTTTATTTTGATACATGTTTTAAATCAAGATAGGCTAACCATCTAAACTTATCTCAAAGGACGAAAGAAAATCTATAAACAAATCCATAAAACGTTATTACTAAAAAGTGAATTACAAGTGAATTTAATCATAAACTTTATGATTTATGTATATTAAAAATATTAGAAAAATAGATAAATAAATTTTAGAATATTGAGCAAGAATGATTAATGGGTGATAAATTAAAAATATTGGAACTTTGGTTGATGTAATAGTAGTTTAATTAATTAATTAAACTTAAGAATTTATTTTACTAATCAATGATTCTTATCTAAAAGTGATAACATTCCACCATATTTGTAGTACTCTTGATATTATATGGAAAAAATTATTAGATTTATTTTGTTATCTTATAAGGAAATAGAAAACTATTTACTAAAAAAAAGGGATTAGTATTAGATATTTATGGAAAGTCGTTCAAAGGTCAGAATATGGTTTTTAATGCAAAAAGTGTATAATCCAGAGCAGAATTATAGAACATTAAGGAGTTCACATATTCTGGTTTATTAGTAGATATCTAAAACAGTCAAATTTGAGACATTTATTAGAAAATTTAAGAACTCTATTACTCTTCAACAATAACGATGAAGCTGAGTTTACCCTTTTATTATTTTAATTAAATTATTAATATTATTTACACATATAATATAAAAATTAGAATTAATTCATATAATTTGCTTAATAGTAGTTAGGTTAGTTAATAAAGAAATAGTGTACGATTAATCCTTTATATGTTATCAACAACAATGAAATTTCTTTTTTTAAGAATGTTCATCTTAATACAGGTTTAAGTTAAACAATCTCAGAAGTTTTGAATTAAATCAGAATCAATATGTTATGATTTACAACTTCCCTGTTTAATATATACATAACTTGAGGGTATTTTTGTTAAATAATTAATTCATCTTTTTTAACTTTATGACTGTTATAAATTTATATACATTTGAAAAATAAATATATAATTTTGTTTTCATTTATTATTGAACACCTTAATGACATTTACTTAAATTATATTGATTGTAATTTGGATCGTAATTGATTTGCTTGATTTATTTTGTGATATAGTTGGGATAGATTTAAATAGTATATTGTAACATGTAAAATAACATAAGAATTAAATATAGTACTATAAAATTCTTCAAATGATTAGATGCAGTTTGATACAATATTAATCTGAGAAATCTTAGTGCATAAATATTTAACTATTATATAAAAAGTCATTCTTTTTGTTGATTATTAACGTCTCTGTTGGATAGGGGTAACCTTACACACTTAAACTAATTGAGCTCTCTAGTATTCAGCTTCTTCTTGAGACAGTTTTTATTAGTCATTGAACTTCTATGAGTTAAGCAGGTTTTTTTTTGCAATAGGCTCTGTAAATCAGACATCACTTGCAATTCAAGTTGATGAACCTTTTTATTGTTGAAGCTTCTTTTGGATTCTTGATCTCTAGGAGTGGATGAAATATGTTAAATTTGTTGTGAACTATTTTTGTTTGGCGATTTGAGTATGTTCAGTATGTGAGTGACACTGCTCTTTCTTTAATTAGCACTGTTTGGGATGTTTGTATTGTTTCTGGCACTGCTGCATTATTATTTATTAAAAGATTGTTTCATCTTAGCGGATAGTTTCATAAATTGTTGAACTGGTGAAGCCATATTGACAGAAGGGGATTTGGGTTTGCTTTTAGTGAATTATTGAATATTTTTTGGAGATGCTTGTTTGGATTGCTTTTGGTTTCTGGGTGAGGCAACATCAATCAATTGAATGGAAGCTGATTGAATTTTGAGTGGAGGAGACTTGCTTTTTTGTGGTTATTGTTGTGGTATTTTGGTTTATTTTAAAATAGATTGTTTGTTGGATTTACTGGTGGTTGTGTTGCTTCCGATGCTGTTGATTTTGGTGGAGGATGTATTTGGCTATTTTTTTAGCTTGATCATAGACTGGATTTATTGTTTGATTTTTTCAATGGAATCAGGTTCTTAGATTAGGAAACTGATTCCTTGCAAGATTTTATCATTTTTCGAGAGGATCTAATGTAATTTGGTTGAATATACTTCATCAGAGGAACTGGGATCTTGTGGTGTGATTTGTTCGCTTGTCAAGGGGATGGGTGAATCACCTACAATCCCTTTTTGTGGTTTATCAGGGTTGTTGTGATTTTCTTGTGCAATCAGGCGAGCAATTCTAAAAAATGCAAGTCTTCTTTTACGATCATGAAAATAATTTAAGGGGATAATGGCAGGAATCATAAATAAACGAGGTATGTCATTATGATACTGATTGATTTATTGAATTTCATACTTTATAATATTCTCCCAACATATGTAATTTATCTCTTAACTGATTAATGTGATAATATTTGGTTAGGTGTTCTTGGGGTGTGTCATAACATTATAGATCTTTAAGTTTGATTAGTAATTAACATCTTTTTCCTTCCAAAATGTCATTTATTCCTTTTTTATAATGATAATGAGTTGATTGAGAGTACTTACTTATTAAATAACTATTCATAATAAATTAAAAATGGAACAAATTCAACAGGTAAAAGCATAATTTAACGAATGCAGGAATGTTTGAAATTTATCTACAAACAAGATAAGTCCAAAAATGATTTGATGGCAGTATCTTAGGCTTTAAAAAAATGGCCCTAAGAAGCCTAATAATTTAGATAGTATTGTCTAAACTCTAAGATCTTTGTTTCCAACGAAGCACCGAAACACGTATATGTTGTTACAAAGGGGGAATTCGTATAAGTAAAATATGGTAATTGTTTGGACAAATGAATATTAGTCAAGTCACAATCCAAGAATCCCTTATCTTACATTAGTAAGATATTTGCTCAGGAACCTCAAATATAAAAATAGCTTCGTGTAAGATTATATACAATAATTATCCTCCTAGACCTTCAAGGTGATGGATGTGATTGGAATGGATGAAATTCACAATGAAAATTACACCTACGATGTTTTCTGTAATTCAACAATCGGAGAAGTCTTTTGCATCAAGAAATGTGTCTTCGAGAAAATCGTCCCAACTCAAACCATGAAGAAGAAGAACCTTCAAATAACCATAGAAAATAAACCCTGTCAAATGATTGAAATTCATTCTGCAAAAGGAGCAACGCCAATCAATCGATTATAATTGGGAGAAATACCCAGATAACCAGAAGAAATCAGCACACATCGACATGAAAAGAGAACCATCGATTTTACAGCCTTTAAATAAGTTAAACCATAGCATATTGTTCATCAACCAATCCTGGAGGAACTAGAAGAACCTCCTTTAAACAATAGATTTCTTGGTGGTAATAATACAATTAAACATTAGATTGATTCAGCTTATATATATATCATTTTATTATCATTCATTTTTAAGAGATCTCTCCCAATCAACTTTTATGTTTTCAGACTCTTCCCTTGACTTCTCTCATCCACACTATACTGAACTGACATTTTGTTTAATAATTTATATTTATATAATATTAATAATGTCTAACCACCGCAATCTGAAGGATTTATTTCCTACCAAACTTAATTTTATTAAGCCAAAAGCTGTAAGATACGACCCCAATCATCATTAGGAATTGAAGGAAGAACGGCCAAAGCAGACCAACAAATCCCCTTTAGGATTAAGTCAATTTACTAGTTTTTTCTAAATTGCTCAAAAGACTGCCAAAAATAGACAAACACCCTCCTCTCAAAGAAGTGCAACGCCTTCTAAAGTCAAAATCATATAACTGAACATGCAAAAATAAGATTAATCGCAAATGAAGATTTAGTCAAAGCATTCCAGGAATTAAAGTGCCACCAACATCAACAGCAGTAGAAACAATTCATTTCACAAAGAGAAGTAGCACTATTTATTTTAAACCCCAAGTTCTCGTAGTCCTGTCTACGTATTGTCCAAACTTATGTCATAACACCATTAGTAAGATTCCTAAATATAAATTCATAATCAATCCAAAGATTAATCTCCCGCTAAACCAGCAATATTTGATAATCTGGATATTATTAATAGAAACACAGTTCGGAAGAATTCCAAATCCCCAAATACTACTGCATAAAAAGTATCTCCGTTTGTGTATCCAAAATTTTCAAGTGTCCATCAAATTAAACCCCAAGATAATTTGTTCAAGCAATAGGACAGTTTAGTTAAGGAAAATAAGCCGATTGAGAAGGAATCTCAACATATAAACGAAACACCTTAGATCCACATTAAATAGTAGGAATTCTAAGTACCTAGTTAATTTAAATACTCTAAAGGCTTTGAAAACCTATTCAACTCAATGATGAATTTGTAACACAACTCTAGATACGAGAATTCTAAGAGCGTGGTTAAACAGCAGGAAAGACAAGAGTCAAGTGATGACAATGAAGAAACCTTAGTGGTAGACTGCAACATACAAGTCAGCAAGAACAACTTTCAATTTCATTATGTGATTGGGAAGGGGGGATTTGGAAAGGTTTGGAAGGTTGAAATAAAGAAATCGAGACAATTGTATGCTATGAAGGAGATGTCAAAGGCAAAAGTAATAGCCAAAAGAAGTGTAAATTCAGTAATGAATGAAAGAAATCTATTGGCCTAATTTAAACATCCCTTTTTGATCAACATGAATTATTGTTTTCAAGATAGAGATAACCTATATTTGGTGATGGATTTATTGACTGGAGGAGACCTAAGATATCACATTGGAAAAATGAGAAGGTTTAAGGAACATCAAACCAAATTCTTTGTAGCTTGTGTTCTGTTGTCATTGGAGTACCTGCACAACAACAACATCATTCATCGAGATCTTAAACCAGAAAATTTGGTTCTGGACAAATATGGTTATGTCAGACTAACAGATCTAGGGATTGCCAGGATCTGGAAACCTGAGAATTCACAAGACACAAGTGGTACTCCAGGATACATGGGTATCGTTATATATCAATATCTGTAGCTCCTGAAGTGATGTGCAGGTAGAATCACACGATAGCTGTAGATTACTTTGCACTTGGGATCATGGGTTATGAATTTATGCTAGGGAGAAGGCCTTACAATGGGAGGTCTAGATAAGAAATCAGAGATCAAATTCTCACCAGACAGGTGCAGATCAAAAAGTCTGAGGTTCCAAATGATTGGTCGATTGAAGGTGCTGATTTTATAAACAAATTAATATAAAGAAAACCAGTAAATAGACTTGGTTTTAAGGGGCCAGATGAGGTGAAAAATCATCCTTGGCTTAGAAACTTTCCTTGGTAGAAACTTTTGAATAAGGAAATCTAATCTCCATATATCCCAAGTGTATAAACAATATTTTGATTTAGGAAATTGATGACAATATTGAATATTTAAATTAAATTAGTGAGGATAATGAAAGCCAAGATGATTTGATCAGGGAAAATAAACTCTTATTAAAGAAAAACTCAGTTTAGAATCTATTTAGCGGTTATAGTTATGAATAAAATCTCTCAAAAAATACAAAGAGCACTTCTAGTACGCTCTTTTTAGGATGACTTAATTATTTTATATTTTTTATACAAACTAATGTACAGAAGACTCTCAAATATTGATCGAATAAAATTATAATTCAAACTAAACCAATAAGTCAAGGAGTTACTATCCAAAGGTGAAATTGATATCGACAATCCTACCCACTTTGACGTAAAGTATTATTGAAATGTAGGTTATCGTGGGTATTTTATCAAAAGAGTAAAAGTAAAGAAATCAAAATGAATTGAACCTATTATCATAAGCGTTTCACTCAATTAAATATTTTACTGAGATGCAAAAAACTACAAGTTAAGAGGAAATGCTTAATCTTTATAGAGAATTACAATACATTAATGTGCCAGCACGTCGGACTCTTTTTCGTTTTGGGGCCATTGGAAAAAATTTTTACATCATCTTGAGAGGTAGTGTTTGGGTATTTAAGTATTTATAATTTTAAAGGTGTTAGTTGGAAAAAGTGGTTTGGGTGATGACAAAATTGAAGTGATCGAAAAAAAAGGAGACAAAAAAAATGATAGAAAGAAAAAGGTTGAAAAGGAGTACGATGAAGGTGAAGAATCTGTATAATAAATTAATTTATTAGAGGATGAGGACGAATTTTAGGACTTGGAGGATGAGAAAATGTTAGAACTGAAATACCCCAATATGATGAAGGTTGGTAAAATAGAACAAGGAGGGAGCTTCGGAGAGATAGCTCTTACTAATTGTATGCCCAGATAAGCCACGATTGTGTGTGCAGAAGATTGCTAATTTATTAAATTGTCAAGAGAGGCTTTTCATACATTCTTATGTAACATATACATTTATAATTCAATTAGCCGAGTATTATATTAGAATTTAAAATAAAAATTTTGAATTTTTGAAATCAATCAATATATTTACTGATTGGAATGATACTGACATCAGTGTTATCCAATATCATTTCCAATCCATTGATTATGCCATGAACAACGTTATTTTTAGAGAAGGAGAATCAATTAAAGGAGTCTATTTCATAGTTTCTGGTTTGGTTGAGTTATAATAGAAGGGCAGAGATTTAGAGAATGCACATTCGTCTAAATAACCAAATAAATAATAAATTGTCATCAACAGATACAGCAAAGGCCAATTGTTTGGATTTATGGAAATTATGAATAAATAATCTCAGAGGGAAACCAAGGCAATTTGCTTAACGGAAAAAGTCTAAACTTTATTCTTATAAGCTGATGTAAATCTTATCTTTCAATTTAGAGATTTAAATTATATTGTTGTAGAGGAGAATCATTGAAGACTCTATAGTTGATGATGAAAAAGCTAGATTACATCATTCATAAGGCCAATCAGATTTATGGGGAAAACTAAAGATAATCCAAATAATCTTTATCGTTGAATCTGGCTGATAACGATGCTCTCTTACAACGGATGAAAACAGAAAATCAACCTATTTGTAAAACGAATAGAAGTCGAATTGTTAAACGATCTTTAGACATTCTTGCTGGAGTTTCCCATTAATCTTCTAAAATTCAAAGCTATTATGAAAGTGTTTCTACATTTCTTAAAGACCCATAGGTTAATTTAAACCTGAATAATCCTCTTATTCATATTGAACCTAGCAAGCGTTTAAAAATGTAATAATTGCAATTCTAATTGTAATATTGCCCTCATCCACCTCTTACTTCAAGAATTCCTTAATTTTCTAGTGGGGATTCAAAATAGGTTTTACTTAGGCAACTTAAATTACCCAGCATATTTAAAGAATAATAGAAATAAGATGATCGTATATCTATCCGATAATTAGATCCTGTTATTTGAATAAAAGCCTTTATTAATTAAATTATATTATCAGAAATATTATAAAATCTTAAACCATTAATGAAAATCGTATAATAAAATCAGAGATTATTAACCAAGTTGTATTTCGAGTAGAGCAATGCCTTGATTCTAAAGTAATCATTGTAAGTCCACTCCTTCTTCGATTCATCTCCATCCAACATTTTAACAGCCTATTTTTAGATTCTACTATTTACCTATCTCCATGTAATAAACCTCCCTTTGATTCTCATTCTTTCTCCAGCCACCTTCTGTCTAACTTAGTATTGTACTCTTTTTTCATAAGTTCTACTCCTTTTCTTCTCTAAATATTTCTTTACTTTCAACTCCCTTGCTAAATTCTGCCCATTTCTATTTCTCAACGTATATAGCCACTCCTCAAACTTCTTAGTTTTATCATCCTCAGCCAGTCCAGCCGTAAGTCCTAATTTGAGTTTTTATATTGTGTTGTGAGATAAAAAATTATGAATGAATTCTTCCTGTTGGAAAGTAGGATTATGTCTCAGATTAATACTGTACAGATATTGATCAACTTCAATGTCCAAGAGTGCTGAGTCTTATTCAGGTTAGGAGATTTCGGAATAATCAGTCTATTCTTGAGTAGATGCATTCATGCTCTACTTTTTTTTAAAATTAGCATGGCACTGAACTAAAATATTCTAATTGGATTCTTCATCTATAATGCAGCTAGTATGCTCGATTTGGTGTTAAAATTGGCAAATATTCATTTATTATAAATAAGATATTTAACTCAAAACCGGAATTAAATTTTATATACACAATTTTAATCAATACTCCGTATTATCTCCAAAATGATTATGAAATTAGACTACATCTCATCTTTCTTGCATAATTAATGAAATAGACTTATAATAAAATTATAAATTAATAAATCAATTCATTGTTTTATTTTAGAAACCATTCTCTAAATTACATTTTCTAGAAAATATCTCATGTTTATATAATTGTATTTTATTAAGGTTTCCAGAATGTATCATAATTGTTTTAATTTATATTTGACACTTGTTTATCACTTGAGTTGTTATGTCGATATAAAGGAAAAAGAGAATTTTGGCAATATAAGATGATATGTTAATATGGTTTAATAAATCATCATCCAAATGTTCATTTTCTTCTGTTGAACAACTTCATAACTTACGATAAACTGGCACAATGGGTTTGCATGCAAGTAGCAAATGCAGAAGCAAGTTCATTATTGGCAGTGCATTCAATGAGCTAAAGAAATTACAATGAGATTTACTTTATCTATTGAGGTACTATCTCCATGTTGTTCATCGCAATTCTTAAGTGTCTCAGTACATTAATCATCAAAGACACATCCGAATGCTTCATTCATGCAATTATCCTAAACACATTAAGCCATGGGATCTGTTGGCTCTTCTTATTTGTGGTGCTTTTTAGCTGTGATGCATAGGATGAGGAATGCGATTGCCAAAATTTATTTCATTTTTATTTATTAATTTGAGGATGTTTAAGGTCACATTTATAGTATGAAAAAGATACGTCTTAATTTAAATCGTATTATTTGTTAATTTAATTATGAAAAAATTCTTTATTAATAGAAATCCTTTGGTTGATCTAACTGAAATTACATATAAAATTAATATCAATAATAACATATAAAAATATTAATTACTAAAATTTTATTTAATAAATTTCTGGTTTTTAAGTTGCTCATCTCAATTTTGGTCAACCAATTACACTAATGAGATACAATTGCTGAGAATATACTCTCTATAGGAATTTTTACCTTCATCAAAATTTTTTCCTGAAATTTCAATTAACACACCCATATCATGTCAAACTTTAAGATACTTAAAGATATGCAGTTAAGCAAAACTAAATTATTTTTTCTATATTATTAGTAGATTCTTAGACTATATAATTTCAATAAATAATGTGACAAAAAACTGGTAGTGGTAAAATGGAATACTATGTATCTTATGGATTCTGTATAAAAACATTCTTAAAATAAGAATAGAATATGATAATCAAACTTTGGTTAAATCTAAAGAATATATATCATTAAAGGACATTTGATGTCTATCACCACCGAAAATGAGAAGTTAAGATTCATATATTGTAAATGAATGTCCATCTCGAGCACAGGGTTTCTTTCCAACGATTGAATTCTACATTGATTGAAGTGGTTAAAGAAATCTGATAAAAATAATTGAAAATATACTTTGAAACCAAAGGCTTTCCAAATTCAGTTAATTTTCCTTATCTAATTTTCAAGTCAGCCTTTGGATTGCCAACCAAGAATAGGGAATTCCTCATTTTTTCAGAGGTAGGAGAATTATCTCTTAATTATTATTTTTACCCCTCATCAACTTCAAAAATCTTTAATAGAGCCATTTTTTTCTGTTAAATTTCTTTTCTTTTTTTTTCATCAAGGGTTTTTTAATTGGATTAAGCTTGAGACAAATTTCTAGTGGGTGACTCCAAACTGTCTTCGGATTAATCAGGTTTTTTAAGAGGAGAGAGAGTTGTTCTTTTAAAAGTCTTTTTTATGCTGCCAGTTCTAGTGGATTTTCTGAATTATCTTCGTGAATGTTGATCTTATTTCGTATCCTTACTTGGAGATATTAATTATTTATCCTTCTTCCTAGCACTGTCCTCATCAACACGAACCCATTCCATTTTTTTAAGATTAAATACAAATAAGTCATCTAATTCCCAAGTGATATCATGTATTCCTCCAAAGATGATTATTTTATCATCATGAACAAGCATCACGTGACCTGATCTGATTCTAGGTAATTCATTGGAACTAACAGGGATGTAGGTCCATACTTAGAAATCGAATTTCCATAGATCGTTGAATCTTTAATGACCATTAGATCCGCCGAACATGTAGAGAATGTTCTTGTGCATGGCTATGCCTGCTCCGTCTCTGGGAGCTGGAGCTGTGCTGCTTTATGGTTAGACCCTTTGCCAAGTGTTGGAATTAAACTCGTATTTATAAACATAGTTAGAATGTAAGCCAACAGTTCCTCCAAAAAACCCTCCAAATACAATCCAATTATCGTTATGGATGATGGCTGTGTGATTGTCTATTTCTGGAGGGTAGGATTGATTAATTTTGCACTTAATCCAGGTGTGGGAATTGAGATCGAAGTACCACATGGAGTTGGTGGAAACTGATTAGTGAATCTGACCACCAAAAATGTAGATTCTATCCATGAAGGTGCACATCTGATGGCGAGTTCGGGGTCCTGGGTTTTCTTTGAAGTTCAGCTTTTCCCATTGGTAACTTAAACTCTTTAGATTCATACGATAGAATTCATCCATGATTCCTAATTGAACTTGGTATCCCCCATACAAATACAAGCTATGTTATAATGGAAGTATACAAATCATTGTGAATTGTGATGCTGGTGTAGGCTCTGTGGTTGATGTTCTTGCCATCCACTTTGAGTTCTGACCATTTTGGATCCTGATTCTCCACATTCACAGTTTTTACAGGTTATATGTACTTGTATTCTTAGTCTTGCTGTTGCTCCTGTCGACTTGGAATCAAACTAATACGTTTCACCTCCTTGGTGTCCTTATTCGATCGATTAGATAACATAATAATTATTATAACAGTCAAAATGGGCAATTGCACAACCTGTGATGATCCAAATATCTACGAATCTCGTAATGAACTCAAACCAGCAAAGAAGACACCTGACAACCAAGAAAACTTGAGTGTTAAACCAAAATTATCGCAATCCTCTCAATTAACCCAACACATTAGATCGAATCTCAAAACTCTAGCTTCCATGCCTGATTTCTCTAATTCATTCACCCAAGAAGCATTAAATAGGGTTGGTCCCTATTAATACGATGATCCAACCGATGATATGTTTGCTCTACCGTATTCGGGAGTGTTGGAAATTGAAACCAATGTGTACTATGAAGGATAGTGGAAGAACGGAATGAGATAAGGAAGAGGCAAACAACACTGGGCTGATGGTTCTGTTTATGAAGGTTATTTCGCATCTGATATGGCTAACGGAAAAGGTCGATTGATTCATGCTGATGGAGATGTATACATAGGAGAGTGGCTTAATGACAAAGCTCATGGCAAGGGAACATACTATCATAAGGATGGGGCATCCTATGTAGGAGAGTGGTTTGAAGACAAATAACATGGTTTTGGAGTTGAAAAATGGGCTGATGGAGCCATGTATGAAGGTGATTATGATATGGGCTTAAAACATGGAATTGGTACATTTACTTGGAGTGATAGTAGTACCTACACTGGTGAGTTCGCCTTCAATAATATTCATGGAAAAGGAGTTTATAAATGGGCTGATTTTAGAGAGTATACTGGAGATTGGAAAGACAATAAAATGGATGGAAATGGTATTTTTACATGGAAGGACGGTAGAAAATATAAAGGATAATATTTCGATGATAAGAAACATGGTTTCGGTGAGTTCTTTTGGCCAGATGGTAGAATGTACAAAGGCTTTTGGAAGGATGGATAACAACATGGCAAAGGAGTATATAGAGGAAGTAATGGCATTGAAAGAGAAGGAGAATGGGAGGATGGAAAAAAGATAAGATGGCTAGATGAATGAAAAATTGATATCATTATATAATTACTTCGATATTAACTACCTTTTAATCATATATTTAATGACAACGGCTAGATTTACAAATTTGAATATTAATATTATATTATTTGCGACTCAAATATTCAGCTTCTTAAATATATGACCTAGAATTCAGTTAGTTGAATATTAATATAGTTAATTTCTTGTATGAAATAACATATAATTTTATACTGAAGATGATGAGATTAGAATGGGTGTTTTGATAATTTAAAAGAGGACAAGTCAAAAAAGACTATATAATTAAAATAATAACTTAAATTTGAATCTGTAATACTTGAATAAAGATATAAATAGATTTCTCTCATATATCAACTTAATTTGATATATGAAAGAAATATAATTTATCAAAAAATAAATTATGAATATTATTCTAATATAACTTCAATAAGTCTAAAAGAATCTCAAATAGAGACAGCCTTGAAGTTTGCTCTAAAACTTAAAAGCATTTTTATTCTTTGGAGTTAGTGATAAGGTTGTATATCATCCTTCTAAGGTGAATTATTAACTAAATAGGATTAATAAGAAATTATGAACTATATACAACAAAAATACTTAACAAAGATTTGATAACTAAATGATATTGTAATATATAAATATAGATATATATATGTAGATATTTCATTTTTTAATAAAAGAGGCTTCTAAAAACATCTGTCTTTTAGATGCAGGTGGAGTAAGTTATCTTGCTTTTTTGATATTCTCAACAACATAGTTTTTGGATTAATCAATAATTGTGGATTGCTAAATTTAAGATTTCATTAAATGATTATCAATGTTCGATTGTTTGATTTACGGAGGTATGTATTTTGGAAGAATACCCTTAATCAAATAAGACCTATATGATAACTATAATTTAGTACCAATACATGTCTTCAGTTTAAATTACCAATTTGCCTTTTCTGATTTTACCATATTCAATGGGAGTAAAAGAAATTACAAAAGTAGTTCCTTCTCTTCCATATGGTTCCAGGTCACCGATTTTAGGAATAACTGAAAATTCAGCATCAGATTCAGGAGTGAATCCAGCATAGAATTTAGCATATCCTTTAGTTTTATTTGTTAATTTAAAGGAAACACTTGTAGTTTTATTTAAAGGTGAGCTAATAATGATGACATCATCTTCATCAGGTTGAGTGGCTTCTAAAACTATCTTGTATCTAATATAAATATATTAAATATAATTACTTCCATCTTCCACCACTTTGTCTAAGAACAATAAATTCAAGACTAGCCTTAAATGGTTTCATTGGTTAAAATCGAACAGCAAAATGGAGATTTTCATGAGGATTATATAATTAATTTTTAGTACACTTAACACTAAAGCATTTGCTGATCATTTGTTATAAATCTACTGGAATGTTTGCCAACTCAAAATCGAATTTATCATCAGCTTATAAAGTTTAAGCAATTCCTTAGAGTCCAATTTTGATTTCATCTTCCCACTTTTCTCTACATTTGGCCTTAAAGTGAAATAATGTTTAATTTGAAATACTTTCGGTTACACCTTTAACAGGAAACGTCCAGGAAATCTTTTCATTCATTTGAATAATGATTTCAGTGTAATAGCAAGTGATTTCTCTTGGAACAAATGAAAAAGGAATTTATAGAACGTTCATTCCTGGAACAAGAATCTTATCATTTTTGTTGGTTAGTAATTTGAAAACCTCTTTATTATGACCTTCAGCTTCCAATTCAATTTTTACAGTAATTGGATCTTTGAAAGGATTCTTAAAGTGTACAACAGAACTGTAATCTTTATTCAATCCTATACTCACAGTAGTGGCTGGGAATTTAGTTGGGGGTAAACCATTACCAAATACTAAATAATGCCATTTTCCAA